TTTAAACAAAGATGAGTGTAGGATGTGATGACTGTTGCTTGACTTGCTCCACCCCAGCCTCTGCCATTTGGTGAAGATGTCTTCTCATATTGATCAAACCTGTTGAATGACAAATACATAACACATATTTAATATATCTGGCAATTAAGTTTTGATAGAAGATGCAACAAGAATTGTTTTTAGTAATACATGCCTTACAAATACTATCATTTGTGTCGACAGACTCGTATAATTGAACTTTAAGTATGTTGACAGGATTGAAATGAATAAGAAACAGATTAAGGTATGATATTAAATTATAAAATATTACCTGCTTCAATGATATTGTGCCTCTCAGTCCAGGTGGTCTTGAACTTTGGAAGAAGGATTGCAGCAGCAGTCAGCTCAGGGTCTTCCATCATCTCACCAAAGTGCTTTTGGACACCATCCTGAATGGCTCTGAAGAGTGGCAGACACATCTTGGAGACAGTCTCCAGTCTGCTGAGTTTTTCTTTTAGCTGGAAAATCACCTGAGGGGCGGGACTAGGAAGCTCAAAAATGACCAATCAGAAAAAAGAAGGAAATCCCGACTGTACCACACGACGCGGTAGATTTCTAGTTGTAGTAAAAAAAATAGCATCTGGCAATGGCGCAAACATCTTTTATTTTTTAGAAGAAATGCTTTTAGCACTTCTACTTGTGGTTTTAAAGACATCTGAGTCATTTAGAACTCCGCCGCTGTCTTCGTTGTTTATGAGAAATTGAGCATCGCCGTGTATGACGTGAATTAAACAGGAGGAGTCTGGCAGGCCAGGCTATCTTTCTCGTACCATTAGCGCCTATTTTCTTCTCCTACCCATCATTCATTGCACTGTAAGGTCACTGAACACATGCTTCACACTAAGAAGTTCAACTCACCTGTTGACCGCTCAGACATCCCTTCATTCCTTCTCACAAGCTTTGATCTTCTTAGGTGATCCTCCAGTCATCCGAATAGTCAGTTAGTGTTTCTTATCCTTTCCTTCGTACCCCGTAACACACACACACTCTCGTAACTTAAGCACTCAGTTCTTCTGGTGCGCGCCTTCAGCGTCTGCAGCACTTCCATGTTTGGGTCTTACCAGTATAGACATATATATATATATATATATATATATATATATATATATATATATATATACATAGACACTTCGTTAAGTGCTGGATCACTCTCGAGTGCGTTAAGACGCTTCTACATATGTATATGTTTGTACTCTTGTCTCTTCTCTGTGGTGTCTGAATCATCGTCTGAATCCAGTGCGAACTGTGCCGACACAGTATTTTGCAATGTTGTTTTACTCGGTAACGGATAAGATAAAAAATGTAGCAAAGTACAATACTTACAAAAAACAATACTTAAGTAAAAGTAAAATTACAGATTTTAAAAACTACTTAAAAAGTATAAATGCACAAAAAATCTACTCAATTACAGTAACGCAAGTAAATGTAATTCGTTACTTCCCACCTCTGTACTTTACCTCTACATTACAGTTCCTTTATCCATGTCCATCCTAGAGCTCCTCTCTGACTTTCATGCTTATTTAGAGCAGCTGATTTTTAAAGTTAGCAGAGTTCATCCTTGGTAGTGGGTTCAATCACTCATTTAGCCGATCACCACTGAAATCAGTTTGTTCATTCCAATCCTCCTAAATAATCCTCCAATCATCCAACTGGAGTCCTTAAGGGTCCCGTAACGTCCATCCTGTCAGAACAGGCCTTGGGAGCCCAGGTGTTACTAGAACTAATGGTGTCTCCTCACCAGCGTGAGCCTCCAATCTGTGAAGGTTGGACTCTAAACATGAACTTTAAATTCATGCATTTATCTCCTCTTGTAATACTTTAACATGTTTTAAAAGGCTAGTATCATGATATGTTACACCTCCCAGACCAAAGATAAGATAAAACATTATCATAGACACTATTAAGACGTCATTATTTATGAAATATAAGTTATTTTCCTGAGCCATTACTTCAGCCAAGATATAAGATGCATGGATTTGATGAAACCACGCTGTCTCATGCAGTTCTATATGTGTAACACACACACACACACACACATGCACATGCAAGCACGCGCACACACACACTGCAGCATGTTCGAATCATTTGAATGACTAATTTAACTACACTGGACTGCTTTTGTAATAATTTAATCTCTTATTCTAGAGTAAAATAAAGAAACAAGCTAAATCATCACATATCTGTGGCATCAAGGCGCATCTTCTGAGTTCAAACACAGGGATGGAGCACAATGTTTACACCTGAACAGTGTCAGGATGTTTTAACTCACAGAGACCTGCAGGTCTTCTGTTTTATGAGCAAAGCGCTGAGAATCCGCTTGTTATGAGCGCTGAAAGTTATTTTGCCGCTGCCGTGCGGAGCGGTAGAGAAACACATTTCAAACACGAAACCGAGTCTGGCTACCGAACCAAGTAGAATTCTGATGACGTCACACCGGTGCGCGAAGGTGCGGGTTCCAACCCACAGGAGAGGAGGGAGAGAGGAGGTAAACAGTGAGATGATCGACTGAACTGATGTCTTTGAGCAAAACTGTACACCCACACACCCCCAACGGTTTAGACGTGGCCAAGGGCGTAGGAACGAGTTTAATATGGGGGGGGGGGGGGGGGGGGGGGGGCACATTTTGGAAATCTAACAAATCTGTTGTAGGTCAATATATAGGTCAACTTCACTGAAAAAAATACATTTAATGATTATTTCTGATTCTAACGTGTCACTGAGTGTTTCATGCAGGCTGAACATGAACAAAGTCTCCTGCCGCTATCTCCTGCATTAGCTTCTGATAGAAAATCCGATAGACGGTGAAACTCTAGGATTAGAAAAGTCTGACAGATGTGACTCAGGGTGTAAGGCAAAGCCCAGAAAGACAAGAGAATAACTTTTATAGCCCAGTTCACTAACATTCAGTTTTTGTTTTTTTTGATCGGGGACCCATGAGCCAGCCAGAAGGGGAGGAGACTTAGGCTCCCCATTAGCCAGTTCCAGGTGATTACCGGCCAACGTGGATGTTTTAATTATAAAAAAAGCTGTTTATGTGTCAGTACTGTTTTATTTTTATTTAATAATATGAATGTAGGATATATTATCTTATACATATGGGTAGAGATGTGTAAACAGATTTAATACAAGACTAAAGCTGTGAATATTCAGTCTGAATCGATCTGACTCTGATCAGAATATTTTAAACAACAATGCTGACCAACAATCAGAAAAATCAGTTTGCTTCTGACAGAATGAAAAAAGAAATAATTCACTTACAACAACAGCTGGAACTACATTCATTTTCAGACGGACAAAAGAAAAAACAGTGGCCACAATTGCAGTCTAAATGCTCCAGAAAGCAGAGTTTAACACTTATTTTTCTAATATTTCTAAGGAAGCGTGTACAGAATGTAATTTATTCTTAAACCGTACTGCCCAGCCCTACTTGTAATGGGATTACATATATTTAACTGTGTTCACTTATTATTACATTCAAATCTTCCTCTCATCAGCTACCTAAAACCATCTAATTCTTCACTGTAACATCTACCTGCACCTCAGCAGGTCTGGCTCTCACTGTCTCACCCTCAGCAGGTCTGGCTCTCCCTGTCTCACCCTCAGCAGGTCTGGCTCTCACTGTCTCACCCTCAGCAGGTCTGGCTCTCCCTGTCTCACCCTCAGCAGGTCTGGCTCTCCCTGTCTCACCCTCAGCAGGTCTGGCGCTGCCTGTCTCACCTTCTTCATCATTTCCTGCTGAACTTCCTCTGGTCTCTTATATGAAAAAAGTGACATGAATAAGGTTTAAAAATGAAATGTGATGAGAATGTAACAAACAAGCAACAATCACACTTACAAACTCCATTTTTATGTGGAGATTCAACTTTTTTATTTATTTCGTGTCAAATGGTTTTTGTCTGTTACTGTAAAATTCGCCATTTTTTTGTTGACTAGTAGTGTTGTTTAATGTTTAATGCTAACTAGCAAGATGTTTACGTTAGTCAGCCATTTTAGCGTTTGACCAGAAATACAATTATACTCTTGGACTAAATTATTACCAACTCACAATTCCTTTCTTTCTTTTTTTGCCCATGAGAAGAACTCGCTGAGCTGCTGCCGTCTGTCTCTGACACCTGTCTGCCCCAGCTCTGACTCCTGCTTCACTCAGCCTGCCAGCCTGCCTAACTCCCTGAGGGCTGTGTAAGAGAGAAGTCCGCGGTGTCTTTCAAAATAAAAGCTTACGAGTCAAATATTTCAAAATCAATCTTTTTTTTCTCCATGTTATTGGGGGGGACACAAATGCGCGTTTGTCCAATATTGGAGGGGACACGTCCCACCCGTCCCCCCCGGTTCCTACGCCCTTGGCTCATGCAGGTGTCTCTTTCTGTTCCGACGCTGCTTCACATAATATTTGTAATTTATTACGCCTATAATTTATTTTTACTCAGTAACGGATATGATTTAAAATGTAGCGAATTACAATTCTTTTTAAAAAACGTACTCAAGTAAAAGTAAAAGTACAGCTTTTAAAAACGACTTAAAAAGTATAAATGTACAAAAAAGCTACTCAATTACAGTAACGTGAGTAAATGTAATTCGTTACTTTCCACCTCTGGATATGACAGATAATAGAAAACATCGGTGCGGCGCAGATTTCTTTCTTTTTTATTTTTTACTCACCGCTTCTGCGCCTGTTTTGTGTCATGAAAAAATGCCGCCCTGGGCAACTGCCCTGTCTGCCCGTGCCTAAAACCGCTACTGTTGTGTGGCATTTCAGTTTTTGGTTTCTGATTATGAATTACTTCTGCCCCCCTCTAATGGCAAATTGACAAAATCCAAAACAAAAGCATTAAACAACTAAACAATTCATAGGTTAATTGTGGATAATAAATAAAACTAATGATAGATTACAAAATAAAAAACATGTTAATCGCTAATTAGTTTTATTGGTTTCTGCTATTAATAACCGGAAGTGGTTTACTTTAGGAGCCTGACGAGGCGCCATTTTAGATTTTTGTCTGTCCGCGTGGGTTCACAAAGAGCGTAAGAAGAGGGAGAATTGTTTGTTTAGCCCCGTCGAATTTAAAAGGTATGTTTATTATTTAACCTGCTCATTTAATCACCAGATTATAGCTGTCCTACTTGTATGTTGCAACGTAGGTTTGGGCTGGGTTATGTAAAATAAATTGTATTTGGAAATTGAGGTAGTCTTGTTGTTTGCCATAAACTAGCATGTGTTAGCCGGTATCTTAACTAGCGTCCTTCAAAATTAAAACGAAAAACGTAGTTACTCCGTCGGGAAATTTAGCAATCGTTTCTAAAGTTTGCAAAATTTAAATATTTTACGTGATATTCACCTGTGTGGTTTATAAGCATGTATAAGAATAATTAGCAGTGATGTGAATTAGCTGTGCCGGGCATAAAAATCAACTGAATTTAAGTTACCTTTCTAAAACGGGTAATCCAGTTCCTGTTAGGAAAAGCTGCTTGTAAGGGTGAATAAGGTTATAAGTAATGGAGATTAATTTGCTTAGTTATCCATAATGTCAGTCAGGGACTTGTTTGGAAACACCCACCAGTTTAAAATTGAAATCAAACAAGTGCATTTCTGTTTACTCTTTTCAACCTCTAGACATAACAAAAACTATTAGATGATCCCAAATTAATTTTACAGATCATTGTCAATCTGACTTACGTTAGTGGTTTAATCCAATCATTTTAACTGCTGTTTTTTCGTTTTAATCTTTGTGCACTAAGATGTCAGACAGCGAGTCTGTAAAGAAAATGCTGAGGGCTGTCCTCCAGTCCAGCAAAATAGGTGTGTCTGTGGCCAGCCTCCATTCAGAGTACCGCTCACTCTGTGGAGAAAACATCCCACTGAAGAAGCTGGGCTTCTCAAACCTGGAGGACTACCTCAGAAGCATTCCCTCTGTGGCGAGGCTGGATTATCGCATGGGTGAGGTGAGTGCTGACTTGGCTAATAAAATTAGTTTTTCACCTTCTTGCATCTCATTAAATTATTTAATGTTATGTTTTCGCTATTGCAACCATATTGTGCTGCCTTGGTTTGGCCTTATTTAAATGCTCAAACTCGATGTTGCTTTAGAAGCTTCTGCTAAGAAGTAGTCTCATCTGTGTTCTGATGTTGTTCTCTTTGTAATACCGTGTTTTAATAAAATGAAAAAAACTGTTTTGCAGCTCAAGTGCTTTGCTTCAGTCTGTGAAGAAACCGCTCACATTGCTGAGCTTGTGAGCAAGCAGAAAAGCTCCAAAAAATCTCAACACTCACAACTTGTGAGCTGCAAGATGAGGTTCAAACATTCCAACCCCTACATGCTCAATGGTATGAGACACTGCCGGTGGTTTTTGTTGTGGTTCGTCTTTGACGGTTTAGTAGCTATAACAAAATAAATGGTATAGAACAAAAACTGGAGGTGTAAAATAAATGGTTAGTTTTGGGCCTAATTGAATTGGCTCAGTGAAGGTAAAGCATTTTGTTCTAGTTCATAAGAGTATTAAATAAGAAACCACTTGGTTCCTCAAAAATATTTAGATACGGATGTACAGAGTGGAGGGTTTTCTTAAAAATAAAGGATCTTAAAATCAATCTTCAAAGTTGGTTTTGATAATCCTTCCATCTGGATTTGGTCTGTCCTTCTTTTGAGTTTTTAAAAAGTGACCTGTTGTTTTTTTGTGTGTGTTTCAGTGAGCCCACAACGTTCTCTACGTCAGCCATCAGCTAGAAGAGATTCTTACCAGACAAGAAGTCGTTCTTGGACTAATTATGGTTATAGGACAGGCAGTGCATCAGGGGATTATAGGTATTTGCATTTATTATTAGAGGTTGTAATAATTAGAGGCTGACCGATATGTTTTTCTTTTTAGGCCAATAGCGATTTTTTAAAGAATTTTGTTCTCGATGGCTGATATCTAAAGCCGATTATTAGGGCAGATATATTGGGTCGATATATTAAAGTTTTCTATATCAGCCATTGGCCGAATTTATTTTTAAAAGCCGATAAATAAAAATCTCACCTTTTTCATTGTTTGCACCTAAGAGAATATTCCACCCCTAAGTAAAAATTTGTCAGATTTCCAAGAGTTAGATAAGGGAGAAAAGGATTTTGTAGCTAACAAGCTCAGTCATTCTCCTGATCTGGAAGCAGTAAGTTTTGCTTTAGCTTAGCATAAAAATTGTAAGTAAAAGGAAGGTTCTAGCATAGAATGACTGAGCTTGTCAAAGAAAAATACATGAATGAAACAGAAAACCGCTTTGGTGTGTTGTTTTTTACGAGGAAATGGCAATATAACATGGTCTAAAGCTCCAAAAAAGGGGATTTAGTATGATGTAGGACCTATAAATGCAAACTTCAGTAAATCAAGTTAGTCTTGTCTTTTTCCAAAATTTGCAGGCAGTTGAGAGAAAATGCTACCCCTGTTGAGCGTAGACAGCCGTCTGAACCTGCAGTGAAGCAGACCATCTTACCTAACAGGTAACGTGCAAAGAGATCGGTGTATCTAAACTAACCTCACTCAAAGCTGTTTGTCTTGTCATTTGTAAGTAATGGTTTTCATTGTGGGTGAATAATAGATGTCCTTTGTACGTGCTTAATTTTCTTTGTCTTGAAAGCAAAGCTTGACTCAGGAATCAGAAATGATTATGTTTATGTTGAAGTCTGCCTAAACGTCTCTTAAGGCTTAAAAATACTGTTTTGTCAACAGGAAAGAGGCAAACTTAAGAAACTCTGAAAACAATTCCAGAGGTGAGAATTTGAAATTTTAATCCTTGTTAATATTTCTGCTTCTAAATTGAAAACTACGTAAACACAGAATACTCACTCCTCTGCTCGGGTATCTTCCCTGAGATGCTTCTGCCAGAACCTAAAACCCGCCATGCTGGAGGAAACGAGATGGAGCTAAACACCAGTTGCTGTTTTCTTTGTCCAATTGTATTTTGTTTTCTATGACTTTAAATGGTGTTTTTCTTTTTGGGACTCTGGTAGTTTGTAAAGTTGAAGTGGTAGCAGCAGGCTGTTTCTCCTTCTCTGATATTATTGAGTTGAGAACCTCTCACCAGTGCTGTTCTGTTGCAAAATACAGGAGTGTGTTATGAGTGAATGACTCGGGGAAAGTTAGGCGAGACCAACCAGATGGTCCAATAGTTGTATTTTTAAATTGCTGTTATTGGTGGTTTTTAGACAAATGCGAGAACCGCTTAGTTTCATTATAATTATTATTTTTTTAATCTTTACAATATATTTATAACTATACTATGTAAGAATGTTGTTAAGAGACACAAAGTGTTTTAAGCTCATTTGTTTGCCATTGCAGCTTTAATCAGGGTCTAGCCTGGCCTGCCAGACTCGTCCTCTGTTTAGTTCTGCACGGAGAGAGTCTGGTAACTCATAGGCAGAGAAGCACATGAGGGGCGGGACTAGGCAGCTCAAAATAACCAATCAGAAAAAAGACTGAAATGCAGACTGTACCGCTTGACTCTAGTAAAAAACAAAGGCGTCTGGCAATGGCGCAAACATCTTTTTTTTTATTATTAGAAGAAAGGCTTTTAGCGCTTCTACTTGTTTTCAAGACAAGTCCAAGTCATTTAAACCAGAGGAAAGAGCCGCAGCAAACTCCGCTTCAGTCGCCATGTTTATGACAAACTTGGCGTTATGGTGTGTGACGTACGCTACTCAGCACTGATTGGCTCACTTAGAATTCTCAGGGGGTGGGGTTATTTGAATAGGAGAGTTCCCAGACCCTTTCTCTGTGCAGAATTAAACAGAGGAGGAGTCTGGCAGGCCAGGCTACTGTTGGTCTGTAACTATTGAAGTTTAAATGCATTTCTCAATAAAACCGGAAACTTATACCAAGAGTATTGTGAATCTGGCATTAGCAAATCACCACGGTTTACTAGTAATTTGTTGAAAAGAAAAGAGATAAGACATTGAATTTTGCCCCAAATACCAAAAAAAGGCACTAAAGTGTATGACTAGAACCGCTAGCCCAATTTAAGATAAATTCACTTAATTTTAAGATGTTTTCAAAAATTAGTGTTAACATTAAATAGACAAGACCCACAGTGTTTGACTGTTTCTATAAAATCTAGCAGCTTTGGAATATGAAACCTTGACCAAACACATTTGCTTCATTTTCAGACATTTCTTTTGAAGGAGTCTCCAAACCCAACAAAGCCCAGGTACATGCTTTTGTTGGTTTTCATCGTGTCTATTTTATGTTTGCTTATATGTTTAGTACAGATCACCCCCTAAACCACTCTGGTGGCCCGCCAGGCTTATTGAGCTCTAAGGGAAACCCTGGCATTTTCTGACGGGACGGGCTTGGGAACAAGCTTGTGCACCTTGAGTAAACATCCCAACTTGAAAGTTGATTTTTACCCTTGTGTGTCACATGCTACGTGATCAGGAAGTAGACAATCCATGTATTAGGAAATTGTTTTGGGACGCTGCTATACCTAAAGTAAGGAGAAAACCGAAAAAGCTACTGCAGCTCACACTCTTGACAACCAATTGTGAAATCATGGAAAAAGCTAGAAACATGCCGATTCTTCCTGATGTAAGAAGTCAATCTACTCTTTCTTTTTGTAGTTTTGGTGTTTACATGGTCATAAAGCACAATTCTGTGACTCTTAAAAAAACAGTAAAAACGCAGGTAGCGAGGGGCTTTTCTGATCAGGAAACGGCAGGCAGTGAATGAGTTAATATGTGAGGGCAACTGTAGCTGCAATACCTACTCTAAACTGAGTGGTGCTTAAGAGTCGAATATTTTCACACTAGACCTTTAAATTCATGCCAGCTTCACTATTTATGTCACATCTGTGTCAGCTGTTTCCAATCATGTATTAATAATGTTTGTGTCACATTTACATAAATGTTTTTTAAGGTGATCACAGCACAAGTATTGACTCGTGTCTCTGTCTCCCTGAAGATTTGTCTGTATGACGTGGATTTGGTGCAGAGCAGAGTAAAGCAGCTCATGAAGAGGTACTCCAGTGGCGTGTGGATGTCTAAAGTGCCGGAGTTCTACAGCCAAATGTTTGCCGAGAAGATCCATCCTCAGGCTCTCCTAGATCTGGAGAAGTGGCCTCGCATCTGTTCAGTGAGTCACGTAATATTTATTTTTTACCAGAATAAGACGTTTTGTTTTCATGTTTACCTTATGAGACCACATTAAGTGACGATAAGCAGTAATTTTCTTTTTGATTATCTGCTCTCCCAGGTGGAGAAACCTTCCGTTGCCAAACAAGACAAGCTCATTTACCCTCCTGTGCCCTTAAAGCCCCTCACCAGCCCTCTAAACAACACAGACTCCTCTCCAGAATCACAAACGAATTCAACACCTGTCTGTTCTCGTCCGATAACTCCCACACAGCAAGCTACTACTCCATCTCCTTTAGCTCTTCCAAAAACTAGAGATACTCCTAGAAACCTCTTGGCTAACCCCACCTTCATTTTCCCCCTTCAACATTCTACTTCAGACAACCTGCTGCCATCAGTAGTGTTACAAAGCTCCGCCCACAAACCCAGACCAGCTGACCAACTGTCACAAAGTGTCAGACATCCCACAGTTGCCCACAACAGAAAATCCCCCACCTCGACTTGTTCTGCGTCAACCAACGGTCCCACTGTTGCTGAGTCCCCTCAGCCTAACAGTGATGGTTTTGTCTCATCTTCCTCACCCTCTAGTTCAGCTCCCTGTCCTCCCCCTAACCCTTCCGCCGCTGCCGTAGTGTCTGCTGAGGTGTGCCAGAAATTGAAAGAGCTCCTTTCCAAATATACCCAAGGCATGTGGGCCTCTGCTTTACCCAAACTTTTTATGGACACATACAAGATGCCGTTCCCTGAACAGATTCTAGACAACCTGTCTCTTTTGCTAGACATATGTTCTGTGGAGTACCCCTCGCCACATGACAAGAAGAAGGTAAGAGGATCTGACGACTTGAACCAATTGAAGTTCCAAACTATAGTGTAAATATACACTCACCGAAAGGATTATTTGGAACACCACACTAATACGGTGTTGGGCCCCCTTTCGCCTTCAGAACTGTCATAATTCTACGTGGCATTGATTCAACAAGGTGCTGAAAGCATTCTTCAGAAATGTTGGCCCATATTGATAGGATAGCATCTTGCAGTTAATGGAGATTTATGGGATGCACATCCTGGGCACGAAGCTCCCGTTCCACCACATCCCAAAGATGCTCTTATCGGGTTGAGATCTGGTGACTGTGGGGGGGCCGTTGTAGTACAGTGAACTCATCGTCATGCTCTAGAAACCAGTTTGAAATGACTGGAGCTGTATGACGTGGTGCATTATCCTGCTGAAGTAGCCATCAGAGGATGGGTACATGGAGGTCATAAAGGGATGGACATGGTCGGCAACAATGCTCAGGTAGCCCGTGGCATTTAAACAATGCCCAGTTGGCACTAAGGGGCCTAAAGTGTGCCAAGAAAACATCCCCCACATCATTACACCACCACCACCAGCCTGCAGTGGTAACAAGGCTTGATAGATCCTTGTTCTCATTCAGTTTACGCCAAATTCTCTACCATTTGAACGTCTCAACAGAAATTGAGACTCATCAGACCAGACAACATTTTTCTAGTCTTCAACTGTTCAATTTTGTTGAGCTCGTGCAAATTGTAGCCCCTCTTTCCTAGTTGTAGTGGAGATGAGTGGTACCCGGTGGGATCTTCTGCTGTTGTAGCCCATCCGCCTCAAGGTTGTGCGTGTTGTGGCTTCACAAATGCTTTGCTGCATTCCTCAGCTGTAACAAGTGGCTATTTCAGTCAAAATTGCTCTTCTGTCAGCTTGAATCAGTCTGCCCATTCTCCTCTGACCTCTAGCATCAACAAGGCATTTTCGCCCACAGGACTGCTGCATACTGGATGTTTTTCACTTTTCACACCATTCTTTGTAAACTCTAGAAATCGTTGTGCGTGAAAATCCCAGTAACTGAGCAGATTGTGAAATACTCGGAGTGGTCCGTCTGGCACCAACATCCAGTGCTCAAAATATCTTAAATCACCTTTTTTTTCCCATTCTGACATAAGTTTGGAGTCCAGGAGATTGTCTTGACCAGGACCACACCCCCTAAATGCATTGAAGCAACTGCCATGTGATTGGTTGATTAGATAATTGCGTTAAGGAGAAGTTGAACAGGTGTTCCTAATAATCCTTTAAGTGAGTGTACATTGGAGAATATTTTAGTTTCTTTACTGATGAGGCTACTGCTTCCCCCATTTGTTTGTGCCACTTGATTAGTATCAATTCCTCCTTTGATCAGGCAGTTTTATACAACTTCAACCAAGTGGACCAAAACTCTGCAAATGTTAAAGAGAGCCTGCATCGCAGAAGCCACCCCCTCCCTTCTGGTTTAGAGGTTGTGGGTTCTGTGGTTCCTCCATCTCTGACTCCTCCCACTGAGCAGTACACTTCAGTGCTGGTAACTGAGGCCAAGAGCTGTAACGCGGTTACTTTAAGGTGAGATGCATTACTCTTATACCTTTTAGTTTATCACGTTATACCTTTTTCTCAGCTCAGTGTAAACATCCAGCTGCTGCTGATTATGAGACAGATGAGATGATAATTCTGACCTGATCTGGATTAGATTTCACATCAGCCCTGATGATCATTTATGACATGTCTTGTTTAAAGCATAAACCTTCACTTCTAGCTTATTTTGTCTTTGGTTCACAGTCTTTAAACCCCTAGTAGTATTATTGGTGTTTATTTGAATATTATGAGGAAAACATCCATATATTCTGGTCTGCCAGTATATATGGATGTCAGAGATGTGTGCATCTGCAAAAGGCTTCTCCCGTTGTTGAGGCTGTCAATTTAATCTGTGCCTACTATGTTGTAAACCTAAATGACACTAAAGATGCAGTCATTAGCAATGGTGAGACCCTCCCAACAACACCCCCCATACACACACACACATACCTTTTTCTCAGTGCAGGCTTTTCAATTTTAGATGGTTATTTCATTTCTTCGTTTACTGCATGAGTAGGGTGGGGGTGTCAAAACGACGGAAAACAAATGTCTAGCACTACCTCTGGTTGGAGCATGTAGATGTAAGCAGGTGTGGCTTAAATATTATGTGTTTGAAGCTTTTTTCAGAACAGTCTCTCCCTCGCCTTTTCAAGATAACTAATAAACATAGAAAGTAGGGCTGCACAATATATCGAAAAATTATCGTCATCAGGATAACAGGACGTGCGATAGGCCCATCGCAAAACACTGCAAAAACGGCGATAAATGTTTGGTTCAAACATTTCCATCCGTGTCATACATCAGCTTTTTGTAAACCAGCTCTGTTTTTTACGCGGAAGTATTATTTGACCAATCAAATGTAGCCCTCCTGATATGCGGCCAATCAGATGGTTCCGTTCACGTAATACGCCCGCCCCCTACAAAGACCCTTTTGGAAAGCAACACCCGAACAGAGTTTGCGGCGCCGTTCCCTTGTTCGTCATGTTGGCTTAGAGCAACGAACGCACTTTGTGCTGATGTTTCTGGAATCAGCGCTGCCTTCAAACGTGAACGTGACCCCGCTCTGTGTTCGTTAATCATTTTTACCGGGCTGACTCCGACACGTGCCGGTGAACCAACCCACCTTCATGTCGCTAGTGTTAGCCCCAGGCTCCGGTTAGCTTCCAGCTAAAAGGCTACAGCACTCTCCTCCCAGTCCCACCCTGCTAAAGAGGGCCTGGAAAAGTTCCCCCACACATCAAAGTGATTTTTCATTTATGAGCTTTTATAACCTTGTTAATCAGGATAGTTTATTTGCTGCTGCACATAAACTGTCAGTCAGAAGCTCTGCTAGCCGGTTATCTTAGAGGAGCTAGTTCAATTTGTTAGCTTGTTATCAGAATCATAGTTGCAGTTTCATCTGAGCTGCTTTTTAAGATCTAGGTAAACTTGTTCAATTTGGGGTTAAAAACAAACGTTTTCACATATTTTCCACGTAGTTTTTTTTTTTTTTTTTTTTTTTTTTTTTTTTTTTTTTTTTGCCAGTTCCTCTTCTGAAAGGTAGACAATTGTTTTTCTCTTTCCCTCAGAAAATCTTAATATTCTTCTAGTTTGGCCCGGCACAGTTCACTTCCCAATTACAGCAACAGCCTTATATCATAACCACATAAGTGGAGAAAATGCTCAGTAGCAATGAGAGAATTTGCTGTTGCATTTAAGTGATGTTAACTATTATTTAACATTTGAACTTATTTTCAGATTTTTTTATTTAATCAAAAAACCCTGGTAAGGGATGTTTTTCGCTATTTGGAGCATCAGAAAAAGTTTTATGGTGGTGGTGATGTTTTAAAGTCACTGAGAAACTGCATGCATGCAGTTTGTTGTTTTGCTGCTAATACAGTAGCAGGTGCAGCTGCTAATACAGTAGCAGGTGCAGCTGCTAATACAGTAGCAGGTGCAGCCGCTAATACAGTAGCAGGTGCAGCCGCTAATACAGTAGCAGGTGCAGCCGCTAATACAGTAGCAGGTGCAGCCGCTAATACAGTAGCAGGTGCAGCCGCTAATACAGTAGCAGGTGCAGCTGCTAATACAGCAGCGGGTGCAGCTGCTAATACAGTAGCAGGTGCAGCTGCTAATACAGTAGCAGGTGCAGCTGCTAATACAGTAGCAGGTGCAGCCGCTAATACAGTAGCAGGTGCAGCCGCTAATACAGTAGCAGGTGCAGCCGCTAATACAGTAGCAGGTGCAGCCGCTAATACAGTAGCAGGTGCAGCCGCTAATACAGTAGCAGGTGCAGCTGCTAATACAGCAGCGGGTGCAGCTGCTAATACAGTAGCAGGTGCAGCTGCATATTTTTGCAATAAAAATGTTATGTTGTAATGGAATTCATGCATTAGTTTTTGTTTGCTTTGAACCCGGAGCAGACATCACACGCCGGACATCAACACTGCATACTTTAGTATTTGTTCATTTATCGCGAGTAATATCGATATCGCAATATTAAGCACTGTTATCGAATATCGCAGGTTTTCCTAATATCGTGCAGCCCTAATAGAAAGCAGCTCAAACATGGGTCAGAGTTTTTGGTATGCTACCTTAGACCACCCAAGCTGCCTTATTCAACAACAAGATAAATGAGGTTTTATATTTAACCGCTCCATTAATGTCTGTTTAGGTACGTTGGTGAGAATTATTCCAGTGCTCAGGAAACCATGGAAGATGCAATGCAGACCTTCTACAGCCAAAACTTCACACAGCATCATGTGTCAAACCCCATCGCTGGTCAGCTCGTAGCAGTCAGAGGAGAAGATGGAGAAGAGGTCACCCGAGGGCAGGTGATGGATGTGACGGACCCTGACAGAGTCAAGGTAACCTGCATCCATAATGACTAGTAGGGCTGGGGGTAAACGATAATTTTAAAAACGATTATTCTGACGATTATTTTATCGAATAGTCGACTATTCTAATGACTATTTAGACAATTAATCTAATTATTTTTCTATTGCACAGTTAATAAAAACCAAAAAATCTTTAATTCCTCAAAAAAATTGATAAATTGTTACTGTAAGAGAATAAACACTACAGGCCTTCCATTTTGTATAACACTGCTTTTATTGTGTTGGTTGGTTATGTTCTGGTGACGTGTAGAACTTGGGAGTGCAGGCTGCTGCCTGAGAGGTGGTTGGAGACGGAGTGTCTCCATGCTGCTTTTTTTTGGTCACTTATGTGCGTGAGGCGAGTGGTACAACCCTTCCTGGGGAGTTTGGCTCGTGTGCAAAAAGGAAGGGACAATAACGGGATTTAAAAGTTAAAATGATGATCAGGTTTATTTACAACTACAAAAAAACATAAATCTTTCCATCCACAGTTTGGGAATAATAAAACTAATTCTGCCTGTGGGGAATTAAAACAAAAGTACAAATAACCTGGGATGTCCCACTGGGCAAAGATTACTGGGTTCTGGACCAAAATAAGCATCTCCAAAGGTCCAAACTCTAAACTGGGTGGTTAAACCAAACTCAAGGTGATATTTTAAACTAAACCCACAACACTCTAAATGTAATAAAAGGGAGATCTACACCACAAAAAAGATGAACTCTAAACCAAAACGTAACAGCTTATCCAAACGCAAGAAGCTGTTAGCGAAAATGCTAACAGTAGCTTTACCAACGTTAAGTTCAAGTTACCAAGTTTAACTAAACCAAAAACACCCGGCAGTAGGGTTGTCACGATACTAAAATTTCAAACTCGATTCGATATTGGGGGGAAAAAACTCGATACTCGATTTCGATACTATTTAAAAACACCAATTTATTGAACAAGTTTAGTCAAAAAATAACATTCTTCAATTTATATTGCAAAAATTAAATGTTAAGAATTAAGTGTATAAAGTGTTTAAACCTTTCAAGTATCAGCATTTTTTATAACGTGCATACAAAAACTGGCGAAAGTTAACACTTTAAATCATGAATTGTCTCACTATATATATACACTATTTGCAGAGTGATGTTTTGCTGCTTAAACTCTGTTTAAGGTGCATTTTTGTCATAAGATGTAATGCCATATGTTTTGTTCTGTACTTTTGAACAACTCTGTTGGTCAATAAAGGGAGAAAACAAATTTCTCCACAGTAGGACAAAGGTACATCTAATCTTAATAAAAACAGATTGGCGCACGGCAGTGACGTCATTAAAAGCGCCGGTTAGATTAGCCGTGACAAGTCTATTTATGCTGGAAATCCCAGACCCGCTCCAAACGAACAGGGGAATCATGTTAATGATTCCTAACGAAAACTTTGGACGTGAAGATGTTTTGGTGCAGATAATGTCTTATTTCGAGGCTGCACCATGGGTGCCCGTCCGCACCCGTTACATGGATATACACTGATGGCGATTCGCCGATGGATCTAAATACCCCGGGGAATCCAAGTAGCACCAAAGTTGTCAGCATGAGTAAACAAACGTACTGCATGCTAGAAATTAAGTCCGGGTTGCAATAAACGGGAGTTTTTCTTTAAGCACATAAGTGTGAATATACACAGGGTCCGAAATTAACACTCGCCACTCGCCAAAAGTGAGCAAATTGCTCCATTTGGCGAGTAAATTTTTGAGCTCTATCTGCCACATAGCGAGTAAATGTTTGCACCAAATCAGTTATGTTTATCAGTAGGGTTGTCACGGTAACCGGTATAGCGGTAAACCCCGGTAAAAAAGACAATAAAAGTAACCGTCCAGTTTTTAAAAAACTATATTATCTCGGTGGGTTTACCGTGGCCGCGGTTTTGGCGCGGTGACCCTTACCAGCCACCGTCGCTTCAGCTGAAGTTCCCGCGGCGCGCACACGCACTTTTTAGTTTGCAACGGCACCAAAACTTTGAAGCTGAAATAATGGCCGAAGGAGGAGACGGCAGCGCCCAGGACATCCATCATCCCTCAAAGAAGACTAAATCGGAAGTATGGGCATATTTTGGATTTCTGAAAAACGCTGAGGGACAGTTAATAGAAGACTGCTATCCCGTCTGCAGAACGTGCAGGAAACAAGTGTCTGCAAAAGGTAACACTTCGAATCTAATGGCACATCTGTGTGACGATCACCCACGTCTCTACAGCCAGTGCAAGGTAAGTTAACATTAGCATTTTAGCTGAAATGCATGACGTGAGGACTTTTGGTTGAGGGAGAATGCAACGAGTCACTATATACTGCAGCCGCAGCGTCCTCTGCCAGCATTTAAACCGTGTCACGGACATCCTGTTGCTGGATGAAGCATCTTATTTGTTGATGATGAAGAGAAATATACAATTAGTTCCTTGTCATTGATTTGTTTACTTATTCAATGCCATTTATACTTGAACATTTGGATTTGATTACATAGTGTAGTAGTTATTTTAGTAATTTGTTTAAAGTGGCTATTTATTTTAAATACATATTTTTTAAGGTTGACTTGTACAGCGCTCAAGTCAAGTGTGGACTGGAGTTTTAGATTTTCATTTTGATAATGAAGAAAACAAGTATATGAGAAAACAAGTGGTGTTTCTTTGATTTGTTTACATATTGTTTATGTTTTGAATGTTTGGATTTGTATCATTTAAACCTGCACTGACTACTGTAACATGTTCCAGAAAAATAAGCTATTTGTTCCTTTACTTGTGAAAAGTTGCACTTTTGCTAAGGCTTTGTGTTATTTTAGGTTTAATAAACACTGTTAAACCTTTTCAGAACTATTTCAGTTTGTGTAGAACAGGACTATCAATGCTTTCTGAACATATGCAACACCGTTTAAAAAATACCGCGATAATACCGAAAACCGTGATAATTTTGGTCACAATAACCGTGAGGTTAAATTTTCATACCGTGACAACCCTATTTATCAGTCATCTTCCACGGATTTCTGATACTCCTCCCGCCAGTATGCAACGTACACAAACGTACGCGAAACGTGAGCGCCGCATCCATCGTCATTCCCACCTATCCCATTCAATCAGTTTATCAAGTTAGCAGTTAGCTTCTTGTTAAAACTAGCGGTGAAATGTGGCGGTTTTCAACTGGAGTCAGCCAGCCTTCCAAAAGAAAACTTGTCTAACTGGAAGAAAAACCACCAGGACCAGTGGCAACCAGAAGATTTTGTGAAAAGTGGTGAACTGGAGATGGCGGAGTTGTGAGATAATGGCTACATTATGATGGCCACGTAGCGTTGCTGCCTTTCACAGACACTTTTTCTGCTCGTGCTGCAAACAGGATAGCCATATTTATCAGCTGTCCCTCGGCATTCTTCAAATATCCAAAAAATGTCCGTACTTTCGACTTTGTCGTCTTTGAGGGATAATAAATGTCCCGAGTGCTGTCGTCTCCTCCTTTGGCCATTATTTCAGCTTTAGCTTAAAGAAAGTTTTGGTCGTAAACAACAAAGTGCGCATGTGCCGCCGGCAACTTCAGCAGATGATACGGTGGCTGGGAAGGGTCACCGCGCCTACACCGCAGCCACGGTAACTCACAGAGATAATATATATATTTAAAACAAGACGGTTATTATTATTGTTGACTTTTTTACCGGGGTTTACCGCTACACCGGTTACCGTGACAACCCTAGCCCTGACACACTTTCAGATATTCTCATGGTGCAGCTGTGTTCTCCAGAGATCAAGGTCTATGACCCAAATGAGGCTGTAATGCTTTGGCACAAAGACGGTGTCAGAAGCAGGAGGCCAGACTTCATGGACAGAGAAAACAAGGAGTCTGACTAGATTTCAATGAAAGAGTTCTTAAAAACATCTCTAAAAATAAATAAATTAATAGTAAAAATAACAAAAGAGTTGTTTTTCTTATTAATTGATGTTTTAATTATTGTGTCACTCTGTTTGGAATCAACATAATATAGAATTACATGCGTTAGGTGGATCTAAATCATTTAGAATTTTGGCCGGTAAAAAAATATGCTTGGCCGGTAGATTTTCATCATCTACCGGCCAACTTGGCCGGTGAGTAAAAAATTTAATTTTGGACGCTGAATATACAACTACGTGTCGAACTTGGTATGCTAAGTAAGTTGGGCTGTGAAGCGCAAATTCGCTGTTGCTATTAACAAAACTTGGGTCGGAGACAACTCGCGTGGGAAATTGCAATGTAGCCATGCGGCGTCTTCTTCTTCTGTTTGTCTGGGAGGCGGAAGCTGCTTTACGGCATCTGGCTGTTGTGCATGTCGGTGTACTTGAAGAAGGCTGTGTTTATGTGAGACTCCATAATATCGATACCACAGGGATGGAATATCTAATTTAGATTCCACTTTTAGTATTGACTTATATCTAGGTATTGATTTTTTTGACAACAAACAGACCAGCACGGAGGAGAGACTGCTACCACCAAAACAGCTCTCCTAATGTCTGAAAGAAGCTCCTTTATGAAGGGAGAAACGCTCCCGGTGATTTTCTACATCTGCGGTAGAGACTGAGCAGCGCATCTGACCCCGGAAGTTGTTGTCCGTTGCCAGGAGACGAAGGCGGGCAAAACAGGAAAGGAATCCAGTAGCGGACGGACATTGTTCCGGGTCTTCGGTATTTGGCAGAGATGTTGGTGAAGGCGGAGAAGAGGGCGAACTTGAGGAAAAACAGGCAGATTCCTCCTCTACAAACTCCTGGGGATGCAGCAAGTGGGCGTGGTGCATCGACTACCGGATCTGACGTCGACAAATTTTTAGAATCGAGCCGTTAACGTCATCGAGGATTCGCTACAGCCCTAATAACAAGGGTTGCTCCAATTCGATCGCGATAGGAAATCGGGTCCGATCAAATGATTTTCAGGGAATCGGGTGGGATTTAACCATTTAAAACAACAAACATTACTTTTTAAAATTCATCCTAAGAGAAATTCATATGGAAAAACAATGATTTTGTTTTAAAATTAACAAGTTCTTTGTTTCACAGACCCTAACCCATCCCAGAATTTAAGGTAGTCTGGGAAGTCACACCATAACATGTGGCAGTTAGCTAAAACAGAGCATACTTGTCACAGAGACAAGAAAATAACCTGAATGTATTTTTAAATGAACAGCAAAGAGTGTTTTATGTGCAGACCTACCAACCTGTATGCATTAGGGTTGTCACGGTGTAAACCTCGGTAAAAAAGTTGACAAAAATAATAACCGTCCTGTTTTTTAAAAACTATTATCTCTGTGGATTACCGTGGCTGCGGTGTAGGCGCGGTGACCCTTCCCAGCCACCGTATCATCTGCTGAAGTTGCCGGCGGCACATGCGCACTTTGTTGTTTACAACAAAACTTTCTTGAAGCTAAAGCTGAAATAATGGCCAAAGGAGGAGACGGCAGCGCTCAGGACATTTTTTATCCCTCAAAGAAGACAAAGTCGGAAGTACGGGCATTTTTTTTTTTTGATATTTGAAGAATGCCGAGGGACAGCTGACAGAAGACGGCTATCCTGTTTGCAGCACGTGTAGAAAAAGTGTCTGTGAAAGGCAGCAACACTTCAATTCTCAAGACACATCAGCGTGACCATCACCCACTACTCTGCAGTCAACGCAAGGCGAGCTAACATTAGCGTTTTAGCTAAAATGCGTGATCCGAGGATTTGGGTTGAGAAAGAATGCAACGAGTCGCTATATAAAGCAGCCGCAGCACCGCTACCTGCATATAAACCGTGTCGCGGACACCGCCATGTTGAAATGACGCTATGCATTACGGGGCTCCCAGGGGCAGATAAGAGTTGGTCTCTCTCCGAGAATAATTATGAATTTAACAACGATTACTGCCTGATGACATTTTTCCACATCTGCAAAGCTCACTGGAAGGACACAAACTGAGGACAATATTTTCCTGATATAGGGTTTATTCCTGATATAGGGTTTATTACTCAAGTAGGGGTAAAAAAGTATCTGATTAGAAGGCTACTTGAGTACTGAGTATCATCTGATCTAATATTTTAAATGATATCAAACAGACATAAAATAAGAAGTTATGGGCAAATATTGGTATTTTAAAGACTAAAGGGAAAAAATGTAAACAAATAAACAATTACAAAATGACATATTTTAGGCAAAATTTAGACACAAACTGAGGACAGTATTTCCTGACATACAGGGTTTATTTGGTTGTCTGAAAACGTAACACGTTAAAAAAAATACCTTGATAATATAAAACCGTGATAATTTTGGTCACAATAACCGTGAGGTTAAATTTTCACACCGTGACCACCCGTGCGTGAGTGAGTGAGTGAGTGTGTAATTCTCCATCCGGTTTGTGGGGAGATTACAGCGTGAAAAGCAATGGGAGTTGCAAAATTCTGCAAAAACATCCTGCACAAGTGGTACTCAAAATATTTTGATAAGTTTGGCAGGTCTGTATGTGTAATGAGTGAAAACCGGCCATTTAACAAGGTAATAAAGGTAGTTCTGCATTCAACACCGATGTGCCACCTTAAAAAGAAAATGACCCTGCTCAGTTCCCTGCAGCAATTTAGCTAAGCCAGTCAGCACTACTAGATGCATTAAGAAACCAAGAAATAGTCTCGAACAGCAAAAATGCCAAGATAGCGGTCTATTTACCACACTAGATGAGCGTCTGTGGTTGCAATCGTCGGGTTCGGCAGTCTCCCTGAGACAGACGCAGCACCTCTACAGGTGTTTTATAGAACAAGTTACTCTGCTGCTCACTGTCATGTGCCGTGCCATCCCTGTTGCTGAAAAGCGCCACACACTGAGTAAATGATTTAACATATGAGCGACAAGGCTACTTTACATTTATTCTTGACATGTTTTTTATAAATGAAATTGGTAAATGACTTTCATTTGACATAGATTAAAATTAGCACAATCTCTCGTAATGTACTTCCTAAACAAGTAATGTTTTATGGCAAATATACTAAATGACAAATACAAAAAGAATTGCATTAATGATTTAGGACCACTCTAGTGTGTTCTCCTTTTTTCTAAATTATCAGATCGGGACTCACTATCAGCAGTTTCTGAAAATCAAATGACTCTGAATTGGATTGGGAGCAACAAAACGTGATTGGAACATCCCTAAATATAACTTAATTTTGAAGTTATTTGATATGAATCTAGCTGGTCTGACAGCTCAGTTTTGAGCCAAATGCACATAAAGGTTTTCTTCTGACAGATCTTCCATGTGGACTACGGCTTCTCTGTGGAAACGAGTAGAGATAATCTGCTGGAGCTGCACCAGGACTTCCTCTCTCTACCCTTCCAAGCTACTAATGTCAGACTTGCAGGTGGATAGTTAGTCAAAACACATTTTATGTCCCTTGTCTATTATACATGAAACTAAGTGTGTCTTTCTCTCGTCAGGCCTGGAGGCATTCAGCTCCGATTCACTGATACTGTCCCTGTTGGATAAGTTAGCAGTCGGAAAGATCCTGCTGATGGAAATGTTACAGCCATGCCAACAGGAAGAAACACCCGTGGCAGTGCTCTACGACACCTCACAAGAGGAAGATGTTAACATCAACACCGCGTGTCTGACATCCCTGCAGGACAAGTCCATGAACAGCCCTCTCTCAGTAAACTCATGCACTACTTCTCTCATTTTCTCTAATCTTTTGGTTCTAACTCTGTGTTTGCCCGCCCTTAATTTGATTACAAACAACAGACAGCGCACACACAGTTGTTGACATTGTTTAACTGTATTTTTGTGTTCTTTAGGTGAATCTTACCTATCAGGATGTGCGTGTGTCCAGCATCTCTGCAGATGGCACCACTTTCTGTCAGCTGCCCTCCAGAGGTCTGGCAAAACTGAGAGTGCTGCTTGAAGGAATAGAGGCGTTTTTCATGTCTCATGTAAGCAAAACTTGGAGGAAGACATAAATCTGTATTATGTTATGTATACATTGGCATCACGTCCAGTTCTGTCAGCAATAATGTGGATTAATTTAAGGTAGTCAACATTTCTTTCAGCTCATCTGAGTTGTTGCCCTAAAATAACATTTCTAAAAAGTGCCTGCAAGAGTAGAGAGAATAAAATATACAATAAAGAGATGGAATTAGATAAATTAAAGTAGTCCTGGGTTAATGGTTCAGAATTGACCAAATCCAGTAATTACTTGGTAAAATGGAAACATGATACACCTAATGATTATCTTAATGTTTTTGCTTCTACAAGATGACATCTGCGTTGCTGGTGTCCAGAGCCTTCAGTGGCAAGTTCTGTCTGGTTCGCTACAAAGGAAAGTGGGTCAGAGCTGAGGTGAGAACACCTGAGTCGGAACTGATCGCATTTTAGTGGCTGAACAACTTTGGATATGAAATTAGTTATTTACAGAAAGTTTAAGCGTCTTTCAATATTTTTGTTCCCAGATCACTAACATGCATGACACTAGAGTGATGGATGTTCTCTTTATTGACCTGGGGTTGCCGGCAACTGTAGAAATCACTGATCTTCGAGAGATTCCTCCGCCTTTTCTTAAGGATTTCATCGTCATTCCACCACAGGTGAAAACATTCAACACATGCAGTTCACCAAGAATTTCTCATAAATCACGTTAGCTCTTAGCTAATACTTCTTGCTAATTGAAACCAGTTAGCATGATTGTCTTTTTAATTATTATCTTTGCAGGCTATTAAATGCCAGCTGGCTGGCCTGGCTGTTCCAGAAGGATGCTTGAGCTACAAAGCAGTTTTGTGGTTGAAGAAGAGATTGCTTGATGTGCAAAACTGTAAAATAAAGGTAATGTTGATGAGACGGAAAAGCTGGGAAGAAAAATAAATTGTTACACAGCAGTCACTTGCACATTTGCTGCATCCCTACTACCCTCAGATTTCCCAGTGATCTGAGGAGGAATAAATCATACACCAATAAGATCAGGAATGGGCAGAATATTTTTAATTCCAGAGGTTAACAGGATGTCCAGATAGACCCCCGAATCCTTCCGTCAGTGCTCCTCCTCAGGAACGTCCACACACGACGCTCCCCTCTGATCAGTGACAAGAGTGACTTTGTCAGTTATAAACTTGATCTTACAGTGAAATGGATGTTTGAAGTGAATGAGTCAAATGTTTTGTTTTACTTTGTTTAATGAGTCGTTCAGAACTATAACAGCAAGATGGTAAACTACCACACTTCCTCTATGCCAGAGGCATATATATTTACTTATCTACTTACTGTGTCTGACTCACCTGTTCTTGTAATCTAGAATCTTCTGGTGCTGATCCGTAACTGGCTACAGCCATGAAACAGGAGTGAGTGATTGCAGTAACCAAATTTGACCACAGGATGTCGTCTTACTTTATTCTTACACACTTCGCCTTACCTCTTAAATTTCCAGGTTTAATTAACCCAATGGGGTTTTGTCCCACGGGTGGGATGCTGGAATGCTAAGGGGTTAAACACCGATGTACCCGTTTACTTCATCTCGCTCACATACATCACAATTCCCCCACCTTTCCTCTTTCTGATTACCTTCCTATCCCAGTCCACTCTCGCCAGGTAGAATCCTGGTATAGGAACGCGAGTCTGGACTGGAGTGAGTTGAGTTAGCCACAACTCGCACGTCATGCCAACCTCCTGGTAACCCTTCTGAACTCTGGTTAGCATTGTTAACTCGTCAGTCTTATTGGGGAGCTATCTAACATTTCCCTTGATGATCAAAGGTACAGATGGGTTATACCGTCTTCCCGCCCTAGCTCCCTTGGGATCCCTGGTGTTTCTCTGGGATGTATCGACTAAGCGCTAACTGCTGCATGATGAGTCTCTGCATACTTAAGTAAACAGTTCACATATAATAAAAAAATAACTCCAAGTTGCTTCTTACTTCCATATGTGTGACTAATTAAAAAGAGGAGTGAAAAAAGCAAGAAAAATGGATACAAAAAGTTAAAAGGTGGTCCGAGCTCCAGCAACGAGCTGTGCTCATCGCACCTCAGTGTTCTACTAATGAAGGACCAGCAGTAATATCTTTCATCAGTGATCCCTTTTTTTAGATTGTGAAACTGGAGGATTGCAAAGGAGAAAAGGTGGTCTACGTGTATCTGTTCACCGGTGGCGACTCTCTGGAGCTGAAAGAGAGCATCAACCATCAGCTGACCCAGTCGGAGATGTGGCAGAACCTGGTGGCACAGAACAACTGTGCAGCTGGCAGCACTGCAGGTAATGCTAAACACCAAAAACAAGATGCACGTTTCCTGGTAATGGTCAAGATTTTTATCTCTAGAAATTTTGTGTTTTAGGCAGATTAGTGTTTTTAAAATGAACTGTTTTGATGTAAAACTTTGTCTCGTTTTTCGAGGTCTAACTCCTCCAGTGGAGCTGTCGACTCTGAGCAGCTCGTTCCTGAACGCCTCCATCAAGCCTTCATTGCAGCTTCATCAGAGTGAAGAAGATCCACCTACAGAAAATGGGATGCAGCGTCTTCCGTTACCACCTGAGCTGGAGCTTCCCCAGGTTTGTGGCTCGTTATAATGCTTCGGTTTTCCTGTTTTCACAACCATTATGTGATCGAGTTTAAGACGCAGTTTTACCATCATCCTTCTTTTCCCCCAGCCTGGTCAGACCCTGGATGTTTTTGTGCCAGTGGTGTGCCACCCAGGTTACTTTGTGGTCCAACCATGGCAGGACCTGCATAAGCTGGTGGTGTTGATGGGAGAAATGGTTCTGTACTACAACCAGACCGAGAATACCAAAAGATCCGTGCACATCCAGAAGGGAGTTGTGTACGCTGCCAAAATAGACAAGAGGTAATGAATGAGCTCTTTGCACCAGATACACACTGGAACCTCAAATTAAAATGAACTATGTAGCAACGTCTTCTTATCCTGGAATGTGTTTGATAATTTATGTAAAGCTTTTGAAATGGTGAACTGATTAGCTTTCATTTTAGTTTTGCTGCTCTTATAGGTGCTGGTCAGTTTAAATCTTATAGAAAATAATCAGATCAGCTGCTTTTGTTAGGATTTCTTTAATAAAATGAGAAAAAAATATTGTTTCCTACCTGTGTTCAGTTGGCACCGGGTGCAGGTGAGAGCGGTCCTGGGAAACGGGTTGGTTAATGTGTACGGGCTGGACTACGGTAAACACGAGCTGGTTTCCAGCTCTCACATCCAGCCTCTGATAACAGAATTCAGACAACTGCCTTTCCAGGCTGTTGCTGCTCAACTGGCAGGTGAGTTATTACTTTATCAAGCTTCAGTAGTAGAAATTCAGTAAGAAAAGTTACTTCTAGTAGCAAGTAGCATCTGTTTCTCTTCATTTGCAGTCGTTTATCAGGTAATGTCCTGCGATGTGAGCTGATTTTCAAATACTTTTATTTTTTCCTTCATCATACAGGTGTGACACAGCTCTGTTGGTCAGAGGAGGCCTCCATGTTGTTCAGAAGTCATGTGGAGAACAAGGCGTTGGTCGCCCAGGTGGAAGGCGTGCGGGATGTGTCTGAGGTTAAAGATGAGCTGTGGGAGCGCAGGTTAACCGTTTACCTGGTAGACACTTCCCAGGACGGCACGGACATTTGGATCCATCGTATCATGGCTGACATCGGGGATTAAGGGTCATTCATTTTTCTTTAGCTGTGTCTTATGTCTGTTATACATTTAGTTATGTTGGACAACTTTGACAGATTGCTTGATGTGTGTCTTTTGGTTGAAGCTTTTTTTAATATGTTTCACACTAATACCTCTAATTCACTGTTAAGATATGAGTAGAAGTTTGTGTTTCATGTCACCGTTTGTTGTTTGCGTTATTAAAACAGTTACGTTAATAGTATTTTGGGTTGAGGTTTATTTTTATTTTAATAGAGCAAGTTTTATAACATATTGAAAATATCCTTAAAAAATCCTTGTATGCTTCATTTATAGTTACTTGCCAGTCTTAACTAAATCCGTTACAATATCATTTATTGATTCATGTGTTTCCGTGCATTTGTAATCAACCATTACACCTTTCTTAGGTTATGCATTCGATAATGTTATTTACAGCTCTGCATATGTTTTCTATCACACTTTTGCATACAAACATAGGAACCCCTCCACCACACTTAATCTTCTAATTGTTATGAACACATGTGTGACCATTTGACTAAAGGTTTCTGATGCTGCTGTGAATAGTCTAGTGAAATGTCTCAAGTCATTACAAACGTCTGCTGTTAATGTAAATACAAAATCTGCTGTTGAGCTGATCAAACTGCTCTTTGGTGTAGCAGCAGGTGTTGACAGAGTTAGAGAAGTTAGTGTTTGAATGTAGCTCATGTGCCATATCTTGTAGGTAGTGATCCGGATACTGTAATGTTTGTAGCTCCTCGTAGAAGTGTTCCTTTAATTCCAGAGTTGTATTGGTTATTGTGCTCTATTGATTTATGCATTGAAGAGTTTGATTTTGCCAGTGTGAATATTTATTACCTGATGAACCAGGTCAAGTGAGTGACTGGGACCTTTTCAGCTCGCCCATGCTACTACTAGAAGTTTGGGTTCTTCTAGTGAGCCCATTGAGTTTGATCAGTCCAGATGCTGTATTTTTTTCATCCTGATGTCTTTATCTCCTTATCTTCCACATCTTCTACCAGTTCCAGGATACTTTTCTGCTGCATCCCAACGGCAGAGATTGTGTGGACCAATAGTTTAGAGATTGCTGGATCTCTTCTTTTCTCTTGAAACTGTGCAAGTGAGTCATATTTCCCCGAATTTTAGATGTTAAATTGTGCAAAAACTCAGTGCAGAAACTATATTTTATCAAGTGCCTGTTTTCCAACCAAATTTAATATTTTTGTAGGAAATTAAACTATTTTACTGATTTAAATGATGTGTGTTTAACAGATTCACACATTCTTATCAAAGGAACTCAGACAAGTTGGAGAGCTCTACCCCGCTTTTAGATTTGATAGGCTACTTCTGTTTTAGGGGCGGCTGAAGTTCAGTTTAAAAGTGATATTTAAATGTTTGGTCCTACCTGGTGGATTTAATCGTTACTTTTTTACTGTTAACCAAAGCTAAATGTGGTCAAACCGGTAATTTTTGTGTTTTGTTTGTTACATTCTGCGCCCCTAAACAGACATTTACATCGGATCCACGTGTCAATTATAATATTATTATTTAAAGAGCAAGTCACCCCTTACAAGAAGTGAACTCCACTCCCACTTCATGTTTGAAAAATGCAACAAATGCTGTTGCCTAGCAGACCGAGAGGGTGGAGCCACTAACCAATACACACACTCACGACATTGTGACATCATAATGTACCAGTTTACATCATAGCATACCTCTTAGCCAATAGCGGTGGCAGATTTAAATTCAAATGCAGTGAAGAGTTTTTACCTGACAACGGCACAACACTGACCGTTTCAGGCAGAAAATTTAAATTTTAACTAAAATGCACTAACGTGTAAAACTATTGACTACACGTGTCTGCAGCACGATTAGACACACATTTATATAGTTTATCAGAAAAAAAAAGTTGATTTGGGGGGTGACTTGCTCTTTAAGTAGGCCCACATCACCGTGTCCGATAATGCACGCCGCGTCGCTTCATGACATCACGGGAGTGACCGGGCAGCCGCGCGTGCAGGGAGGAAGAGGAGGAGAATCTCTCTCCCAATAAGTTTACTTTGCCCTTTGCGGGAGATGAGATTCAGCTTTCACAAAACCACCAAGACGCTTCCAGGGACGGGGAGGAAACTGTGTGTGCTCGCTGAAATCTGCCGGATCTTTCCGCGGGTTATGGGCGGTTTGGAGTTGCAGAGTTTTATCTGATTCCCGGGATTGTGCGCCGGCGGCGGAGTTGACCACGCACCGCGGCTCCGAGGGAAGCCATATCTGGTCAAAGTATTCGCTGCTGTCACCCAGCCGGGCCGACTGTCTATTAATAGCGCCGGAAGAGGTACGTAAAATAATGTAGAATAAACCTCTATAGTCTGTGTGCAATAAAGCAGTCAAACATGTGCATGCTGACTTTGATGTTTTTGCATGGGGGACAAAGTTTCACGTAAGCCACACAGCTCAAACTGAATCTGTATTCCATATGATATCTCACTGCTCATTGAAAAACTATTGAGGAGTTTATTTTTCCCACCATCGTGCAAATCTGCGTGGCTTCAGATCTAGTTTATTCAGCATCTCTCCTGAATCATAGCTGCTTGATGTTTCATCTAAAAGACATGTGGACACCTCTTTGTATAATTTTGGCCTGTCAGACCAATTGGCGTGACCTTTAATAAAACAAGACAGATTTGACCCTTTAGAGGACTTCAGGTAAGAAAATCCCTTATTTCTCAAAATCCTTTACATCTAAATCGCTGCTGAAGCACAAATTAGCTCAATAACTATAAGAAATTTGTCTTTTTAATGATCTGGAAGAACTAGTGAAGGAGGTTTGTGCAAATCACTAAGTTCAAGTGTAATTTTAGGGCAAAGCAATTGGACGCAGTCTTCGCACTTACAGCAGAAACCCGTCACTGTCCTCCTGTGGTCCATGCATTAGGAAATGTGACAGTTGTCTTTCTGCTCTTTAGATTTTAAATTCTAGTTTATTAAAGGTGTAGAACACATTCATAATGACTCTTTCTGATTATAATTGGTCACTCAGGTTTTCATGCAGGCTGAACATGAAAATAACCTACACCTATCTCCGGCACTAGCTTCTGATAGAAAATAAATGGTGAAACTAGGATCTAAAAACCCTGACAGACCTACGTCACATTGTCACTTAACGTTGATGAACTCACCCATGCTCCTGACAAAGAAGGCTGTTGTTTTACGGTCCAGGAAACGGCAGAGAACTTCTCGACTAGTAGAAGCTAACTGTTAGCATTAGCAACTCCAACACACAGCAGAACTCCTCCATAAGATAAAACATCATTTCAAGTCAGTGGTAGAGTCGCGTTGCTGTTCTCCAATTTAAGGCGAGAAATGTCGGAAAATAAGACTCCAAAACCTGTCGTCTGAAGCTCAGCTGTGATGTGACTCACTTCTAGCTCCTGGAAAAAGAGCACCGTTGTTTTCTGTCCCCCAGATTACGACTTACAAGTGCTCCACTCCTTTAAGCAAGCGAAAAAGAGATTTTAGAGTTACGTTTATTTTCATATCAACCTCTTTATTTGACATGTCTTTATTTAGAGGGCTCCGTGGTTTAGAAAAAATGTTGGACTCAGGTCAGATTTTTTTGTCCGGTTGTAGGACATTTAGCAAAAAGGACATGTCATGAAGTCACTTCCTGCTCTGCTGTTCCAGCTGATTTATTGGCTGTTTAGCTTCTCTTGGAGAATTATGTTTTGGATCTCATATTTAAAAAATATGCAACTTGAAAGATTTACAGACCTGCATGCTGGCAAACACTCTGACTTAGAGGTAATAAATTTCACATCTTGAGATTCGTATTTGTCAGAGATCTTGTTTCAGCCAAGCTGCTCTGAGGGGATTTATGACCGGAGCAGGTTTGTTTTAGAGGGCAGAGGTCGATGCCTCTTTGGTGAATCTTCAAGTTTCTAGTTTCTTCCTCACAGATAAAGTTCTTGTTTATAACACAAACACAGGCAAAAGCGTCTGTTCATCATCACAAGCAGGTCAGCCTCTTCCAGTCTGTGATTTTGGACGTCAGCCCAGTTCTTAATCATACGTTTTGGAAACTTGATCTAAATGAGAGAACCAAATGAGATAAGTCTTGCTTGACTGAGCGTAATAAGAACATATTAAACACACACACACACAGATTTGCTCTGAGACATAATATAGATTAAAAAGATTTTAAAAAATAGCATTTAAGCTAACTGCTGTCAGGTGGACATCCATCAGTGGAGGCTAAACACACCAGACTGTTTGGTCATGGGGTAAATGTCCCCATGCCGCTGATGTAGCATCAGTCATCTAACCTCACAGAGACAAAACACTCTGAAGACAAAAGCAGACCTCCATTATGTCCTGAAAGCCATCTTAGAATAAACCATGTGATTATTATCATTATTGTTTAATTATGAGGTTTATTTTAAAGGTGTGGGGCACTCGTTTAATCAATTTGTTTCTGTTTCTGTTTATTCATTTGGCAGACGCTTTTATCCAAACCGGCGTACAATTTGTAACTCGTAGGGCATGTTGTGATCTGTAGGGAAAACCGGAGTACCTGGAGGAAACCCACGCATGCATGGGGAGAACATGCAACTCCACGCAGAAAGGCCACAGCAGAGTTTCGAACCTGCAACCTTCTTGCTGCAAGGCAACAATGCTAACAACTGTGCTACCATGCATTGTATTGGTCTTTAGTAGGAATGAAAGCCTTGTAATTCATACTTGGGGGAGGGGGGGGCAAAAACACTGGTGGGCCATTTCCAGGAGCTGGACGTGAGCCACATCTCAACCGCGCTTCAGTCGGCGGGTTTCGGAGTCTTATTTGCTGATATTTGAACATCTCGCCCTGGATTGGATAACAGCAACGCGACTCTAACGCTGACTTGCAACGTTGATGTTTTATCTCCAGAAATAACATGAGCCTGGAGGCGTTCTGCTGTGTGGGGGAGTTGCTAATGCTAATAGTTAGCTTCTACTAGTCGAGAAGTTCTCTGCTGTTTCCTGGATGTTAAACCAAAAACAGCCTTCCCCATCGCGAGTCAAGATGGATGAGTCCATGAATGTTAAGCGACAGTTTGACGTAGATCTGTTTCACTGTCTATTTTCTATCAGAAGCTAATGCAGGAGATAGGTGTAGGAGACTATTTTCATGTTCAGCCTGCATGAAAAACTCAGAGTGACCGATTATAATCAGAAATAAGTTTAAAAAAATGTTTTTTTTTCAGTGTTCCACACCTTTAAATTATCATTCACTTATTCTGTTTTCTATTTGTTTATTTCCAGCAGATCTTTTCAGGTCAGACCTGGAATCTAAAGTCTGATTGCCTTTGTCGCGTGTGTCCGGTTTGGGGGGTTATTAAGGTGAGACAGCTTTTTGACGTCTCCTGGCTCAATGTTATTTATTTTTGTTTTAACTCAAGCTGTCTCTTTCCAGGTGTGCTGTTCATAATGTCTGTATTAAAGAAGGAGATGGATAAGTACAGGGACATAGACGAGGACGAGCTGCTGAAGAAGCTCTCAGAAGAGGAGCTGCAGCGGTTAGAGGATGAATTAGAGGAGCTCGATCCTGATGTAAGTTTATGCTATTTCAGTCGATAAGGAGGAGATTACGGTGTTGGCCTACTGTGGAGGTGCAGAGTTACTATTACTGCAACTTCATATTTCCTGTTGGATTAGACGGTGGTGGTGTACTATTGGGTTGATTATGATGAGGGGCAGCAGTAGCTCAGGTGGTAGAGCGGGTTGCCTCATGATTGGAGGGTCATGGGCTTAATTCCAGCTCCTGCCAGGGGTATCCTGCTGTTGTGTTTTTGGGAAAGACACTTCACCAAATTTGCCTGTGTTGGTGGTGGTCAGAGGGGCCAACAGCGCCAAATGGCAGCGGCGCCTCTGTCAGACCGCTCCAGGACAGCAGTGGCTACTAAGTAGCTCACTATCAGTAGCAGTGTGTGAATGTGAGAGTGCATGAAAGCGTCTTTGAGTGTCCTAAAAAGCGCTGTATAAGTTTGATGTATTATTAATAATAATAATAATAATAATAAAGTCCTAAAAATTAATCAATAACAGCACATAATTATTTCCAAAAATAGCTTTAAGCTAAGACCTGATGTGTTAGTAGCTGAGTCGTTCACAACACACTAGTGGTGATAAATTACACAAGATCTTGCAATCTTAGGTGAAGTTGCACATTATTTTATTTTAATAACAATTAGTTCTTGATAAAAGATGATTTTTGGTTTGAAAGGTGGTTGGTGATGTGCATTCATTTAAAGGTGTCGGACACTCATTTAATCAATATATCATGACAGAGAGTGGCAGAAGACGGGAGGATTTGAAGTGTTTTTTCCTGATATTTGGACATCTCCCTCAGATTGGCCAACAGCAACGCTACTCTACCACTGACTCTGTTTGCTCTGTAACGTTGATATTTTATCTCTACAAATAACACAAGCTTGGAGCTGGAGGAGCTTCTGCCATGTGGTTGAGTTGCTAATGCGATGATTAGCTTCTGCTAGCCAAGATGTTCTCTGCTGTTTCCTGGATGCTTAAACAACAGCCTTCCCCGTTGCGAGCCAAGATGGGTGAGTCCATGAATGTTAAAGGGACTTTACAGAGTTTTGAATATTTATGCTTGCGGTTGCCCCCTCAGGCAAAAAGCGTAACGGCAGCTTCAATAGTAGGCTCGTGCACGAGGCGCGCATGCTGTACGTGCACACTCCTTAAGGAACATAACAGCTGACAGTCAGCTCCGTGTGTGTGTGTGGCCCGGAAGACAGAGGACAGGAGAACACGCAGCTAATTAATTAAATAATTTGGTTCTGTACCTTTCTCTTAAGCACAGCCAACAAAGGTTTAAGATGGGTCAGTCCATCAGCTTGACAGATCATTCCCTTCCGTTGCTTGAAAAATTGTTCCAAAATGAAAGTTGAACCCACATCTTTTTTATCTGTGAATTCAATGCCGTTCGACGAGTTTCAAATAACCATTTGGGCATCTTACTGTAAAAAAATACCATAAATGTAAAAAATAAACTCTAAATAAATTATGTTCACATCTAGATTTGAACCCTTATCTTCCGCACGGGAGTCCGTTGTCTTTCTAGGTGAGCTAAAGCACCAGTATTGTCTTTTATATCTGTAGCTCTTATATCCTTGATGACAGCTGAAACAACGTTCAAAGAACGGTTCGGAGCGAAAATGGCTATTTTGTTGCTAATTTGTAGGAAATATCTAGAAGAAAGTAGCTAAGGGTCCTCAGAAATGTAGCTAGGTTCGTCACTAGGTGTTAGGAATAGCGACAAAGTAGCTGAGTTGGCACTACTCTCTGCTGCTAAAGCTACGGATAGCAAATGCTACGGGCTATGGCGTGAACGCGCATGAAGCAGCCTGCTCGACCCGAGCATCTCTCTTTTTCTGTGATTTTACAGAAAAACAGGCAATCACAGTAAAAATGCCAGGGCTCATTCTACACGACCAGGGCATCGCAGGAGAATGTATGAAGAAGACATTTATTATTTCTATACATGTTTTGGCTGTCAAACTTCCATAATGCCCCTTTAAGTAACAGTGTGACATAGATCTGTCAGGATTTTCAAATCCTAGAGTTTCACTGTCTATTTTCTGCCAGAAGCTAATGCAGGAGATAGGTGTAGGAGACTATTTTCAGGTTCAGCCTGCATGAAAAACTCTGAGTGACCGATTAGAATCAGAAATAATCTTTAAACAAGTTTTTTCAGTCAATCACACCTTTGAAGAATGCTCAGCCTTTAATTCTTTATGCTTTACAGCAGTCTTGGACTTGTATTGTGTTTTATTATTATTATTATTATTATTATTATTATTATTATTATTATTATTAATAATTTTATTTTTTATTTATTTGTTACTGAAAAATGTTATTGCTCAAGTCTTCAATTTCAGTTTAAAATGAACGTGACTAGGTTTCACAAATATATAGCAGCACTCTTTGTTTAACTCTTTTTTTAATTCAATTTATTTTAAACAAAGTGAGAAAATATGTGATTATATACACGTGTTTTTGTTTTTATTTGAAATAATTTTATTGAAATTATACTCAATTAATATTCTAAATTTATTTTTTTAAACGTTCTCTTACATATCTTTGTTGACTGACGAAGGATTGATCACTTTTTTATTCACAGTGAGGTTTCTGTTTTACTTTAAAATAAAATAATAATGTATGTATTTGTAAAAAAAAAACGTTATGATCATCGTAAGCTTAACAAATAACTAAAGTATAATTAACATTATGTTAAAAGCATGATAAAGTAAAACTATTACAAGAAAGTGTTTGTTTTTGAAGACATTTTCCTTCATATGTTTCAACCATAACAAGATTAATACATCGGGAGTGATTGCGTTGTCCGTCTGTTGATCTTTCAGATGTTTTAATTTCATCGTGTGCTGAGAGAACTTTGTGATTTATCAGCGCCGAGTCGCTGACAGCTGCTCTAATAGCCTTCAGAAGAATGTCTAACTGCTTATACAGAGACAGGAGTCCCCCTCCATGCCAGTGGCATGACTGCAAGGATACACTGTGGAGTACTGTGTGTGTGTGCGTGCGTCAAGTCAGACCGATGCCAGCAGTGAACAACTGCAGGAGCTTTATGACGTAAATAGTGGGCTGTGTGTTTGTGCAAGCACACACACACACATGCGAACTTGCTTTGAAACAAAAGGTTTATCGGAGTCGTCCCGCATCCCTTCCAGTAAAACGTCTGAACAAGTTTCACGCAGGACCCAAAACCACGTCGAACAGCTTTGCTCTGATTGGAGGGAAACAAATGAATAAAGAGAACATCCTGTTCCTGTGTTCAGCCTTGCAGTTAAACACCCACATGTTTCAGTTTAGACCTAATGGACTCATGCTTGTGGCTCAAATTCTAATTTCAATATTTATGTTAAGTGCAAGAACCTAAAATTACTGCTCACATATTTTGCAGCACATCAGCTCATGTGTTTTGTTTTTACAAAGTAAAAACTAGATTAAATGAGGATTGTAACTGTTAGCAGGGCCGTTTCAAGACATTTGGGGGCCCAAAGCAAAATGAACTTGGAGGCCCCTAGACCCCCCACTCTCAAATTTGTGTTTCAGGCACAATTTTACCTCAACATAATCACAAAAGCAAGATAATTAAAACCTGTTTTGAATTATTATTATTTTTCACGTTCCACTTTGCATGCATGCTCTCGTTTTATCGTGCTACCTGAATGACGTACACTTCCCCCGTTCAGAGGATAATTTCACAGGTTTCTTGTTTGGTTGTTTTAAAAGAGTAAGCAAGTAAACATGGAAGAACAATGGCTAAACACACTGGTGGCTTATAACACACATATGAAAAAATCCTTGACCTCACAGACTCTGGCTCAGTAATTTCTCTCCAGCTGACATCTGTATGGGTTTAGAAAGTTTTTAAAACATTTATTATGTACATTTCATCTCATCCTGAATATGCCTAGACATTTTTTCTGGTGCTGCTTATTGATTGTAATATATTCCATTTTTTAATAAAAATTTTCTCTTTTAAATTTTAATTACAATTAAATAGAGGAACTCTGCCACAAAGTGCCACTTACAATTTCCTTAAAATGTGAACTCTTGATACTGTTTTCCAGCTCACTGAGTAATCGTGTTACATTATTATGTTTTGGTATTAAAACAATCATGTTAAGCCTTTTTTCTCTTATAATTGAGCAGCCTCATCACATAGACAGTTACTGTACATATTACTGTATCTCATAGATTGCAGTCATGAGAGGACAAGTGGCTCAGTGCAGTTGAAAATAAGTCAAGACTGAAACATGTCAGCTACAGCTGATAATACTGTGGAACACACAAAGAGATTTTCACTGATAAAATACTACTTCTGTCTGATCTGCATTCAGTTTAGCTGAAGGATTTTTGCTGTACGTACCAGCAGCGGCGGACTGGCCTATCTGGCACTGTCCCGGTGGGCCGCTTAGCCAAGTGGGCTGCTTGTCCAGCTTGGGCCGACACTACTCCACAGTTGATGGTCTGCAGAACATTAGCTACATGGTAACCCGAAGCTAACAGAGTTTTTCCTGGCGTTTTTAGCAAGAAAAACGCGGTAGAGCGATGACATAGGAGTTGTTTTACCACGTTAGCTTGTAGCTAATGTCCCGCTGATCTCTGCCCGTGGAGAATGAGCTGATCTGGAAGGCCAGGGCTCCTGGTCGCAGCGGTCTGGCCCTGCTTGTAATTTAACAGTCCCAGTCTATATTAGATCTCACATTCGGCCTAGAGACGGGCATAAATTGGCATAAATTTCATTTGAAATGAAAAATAATGTCGTATTTAGCCTCAAAATTATTTAGATATAAAAAACGTATCTGTAACAGGTCTAAAAAGCAGTTGATGAGATTTATTTGTATTTTTAAGCCTCTAATAATCTGGAATATTTGTCTCTATTACTTTTAGCTTGGAAAGTGTGGGAACCCTTGCCCTGGGAAACATCATTCAAACATATTGAAGCAGAGCTTCACTGAAAAATCAGTTTGTACTTCTTGTTGAAAATGATCGGTCACTCTGAGTTTACCATGCAAGCTAAATGTGAAAACCGTCTCCTACACCTATCTCCTGCATTAGCTTTGGATAGAAAATAGACAGTGAAACTCTAGGCTTTGAAAAACCTGAGAGATCTATGTCTGTCACTTAATATTAATGGACTCACCCATATTGACTCACGATGGGGAAAGCTGTTGTTGGTTTAACGTTCAGGAAACAGCAGAGAACACCCCGACTAGTAGAAGCTAATAGCATTAGCAACTCTACCACACAGCAGAACTCCTCCAGGCTTTTGTTATTTGTGGAGATAAAACATCAGTTGGAGAGCAAACAGGGTCAGTGGTAGAGTTGTGTTGCTGTTAGCCAATCAGAAGAGAGATGTCCAAATATCAGAAAAAAGACACCAAATCCTGCCGTCTGAAGCTGCTTTCTCTTCTGGCTGAATTCTCAGTGCTGAAACAAGGGCACCGGAGCTTTTTTCCCCCTCAGTACGACTTAAAAGGCATTCATTCCTACTAGACCACTGCAAATGTATTAAAAATAGGAGTGAATGACATCTTTAAAAAACATTTCAAAACCTAAAGTCTTTGTTTAGAAATGTTCTGTTAATTGGAATAAAATATCTGTTACAAACTTTGAAATCAAGGGAAGCCTCATTTTCCTGAGAAGAGTGATCTGCAATTGCAGTAAGCTGCTAAAAATTCCAGCTTTGGAATAGACCAATATATCGAGTCGATGTACTTCTGTAAGAAAGCCAAAAATAAAACCAGACGTAATCATGAACAGTCCAGTGCTACTGCAGGATTTTATTAAACATATTTTAACATTCCTGAAAAATCTGCCTAATAAATGCTGCCAAGATGATATTGGTCAGTTTATTATTTCATATGATTCACAATGAGGAGAATAAAGAGTCAAATACTGATTCTGGTTCAGAAATGTTATTAGTGACATTTTAGCACACAGATGGGCGGAAAACGTTGACCATGAAAATGTACCCAAAAAACCGGTTGAACATATCAACTAGGGATGAGCGAGTACACCACTATCTGTATCTGTATCTGTATCTATTCAACCAACTAAATAATCTGTATCTGTATCTGTACTCAGAATGGGCGTGGCATAACCCGGAAGTGGGCGTGATTTAACCGGAAGTGGGTGTGGTTTACATCAATATATTATTTTAAGTCTGAAATTGATATGGAATGATCAGAAGTTGATATGTGTATTGTTTATTTGAAAACTATTTACAGAGCAACCTCAGAATTGAGATTAAATTTTTTGATCACAATAGTAAAGAAACTATTACAGAAAAAGTGTTTCAATAAAATCAGAACATTAATATTTAAGTGCATGGATTAATACATCTGAACTCATGCAGTAGGAACTAGGAAATATGAAATGCTAGAACCAGACACAACTTTATGTATATTTTTTATTTTAATTTGATTAAACTGATTTTTTTCTTAATGTTCTTGGCATTTTGCCCCACACAAAGTTAAACAAAACAATGTGGACTGAGGTGTGTGTGTCTGAGAGAGATAGAGAGGGAGAGAGGGAGAGAGAGAGAGTAAAAAAAAAAAAAAAACCCCGACCGGAGCGGAGGTAGTGAGTGACTGATGCAGCACGTCAGCTCTGTCTTGTCAAATGCACCAGGTAAGTTACGAAAAAAGTCACTTTAAATATTCAACCGAAAAAGAGGCGAGCTGAAGAAAACCTGGGGAAAACTGAAGAAACGTGAGCAACAGTGAAGCGATCACAGCGAGATCCGTTTACTGTGTGTGTGTGTGTGTGTGTGTGTGTGTGTGTGTGTGTGTGTGTGTGTGTGTGTGTGTGTGTGTGTGTGTGTGTGCGCGTGTGTGTGCGTGCGTGCGTGTGTGCGTGTGCGCGAGGACGAGCCGGACGGACTGCTCTCCTGGCCGGCTCGAGAGTTTTGTGTGTAGGGAGGGGCGGGCACTCTATGTGACTGGCCAATCACAGAGCGTGAAGACAGTCAGTTACCCAATGAGGATTTTCCTTCAGCACGATTACAGATATTGACGAGTTTTACTCGTTTCATGCTCGTATTCGTCAAAAATGCTTTATCCCTAATATCAACCATCGGCAGACCATGACCTCCACTTATCGGCATGGGTATCATCAATAGAAAACCCTTAACAGTCCATCTCTAGTTCAGTTTAAAAAAAAAACATGAAGTTTTTAAATTGTGTAAATTCCCATGACCTTCTAGAATGCATTGCTGCCAGCTGGCCTTCGGCAAAAGGACCAGACGAAGAAAGCCCCGACGGGAACGTTTCAGCGAGACAACCTGCTGGCCCATCTGGAGAAACAAGCCAAAGAGCATCCTGACAGGGATGACCTGGTTCCGTTCACCGGGGAGAAGCGAGGTCAGAATGAGCTTTGTAGCTTTGCAGCTCCACCTCCTAATTTAATCCACCAGTCTGGTGGTTGATGCTAGTGGTTGAAGTTTTTAAATTTTTGGTTCTGAATCACAGGGAAGGCCTTTGTGCCAAAGAAGATGGTGGACCCGATCTTAGAGAGTGTGACTCTGGAGCCGGAGCTGGAAGAAGCGCTGTCCAGTGCTACTGATGCTGAACTCTGTGATATTGCAGGTAACACATCTCATAATACCTCTCTAACCACATCCTGTAACAAGTACATACTATTTACATGCTGCAGACCATTATTTGTGATATTTACCTAATTAACCGTAATTTCCGGACTATAGAGCGCACCTCAATGTAAGCCGCACCTACTAAGATTTAAAAAAACATGGAACTGTACATATATAAGCCGCACCGGGCTAAAGGCCGCAGATATCTACTGAATTGAAAACATAGTTTAACTGAACGTAACTGAACTGATCAGTATCAAATAAAACAGAAAAGTTATTGATTAGTTTATTCATCGTCCTCCTGCGCACTGAAACCACTGAAGTCCTCTTCTTCAGTGTCGGAGTCGAACAGCCTCAGAAGAGCTTCGTCACATACCTTTTCTGTGGCGATGTCGGTGTCACTGTCATCATCCCCGGGTGAAGCTGGCTTGAATGAGTTCTTCCCGCTGCCGTCTCCAGCGCCGAACCATGGATTCATTCATGCCAAGCTTACATGCGGCGGCACTGTTTCCCTCCTTTACTGCCAGATCGATGGCCTTCAACTTAAATGCGGCATCATATGAACTCATACGTGTAGTTACCATGATGAGGGGGTATGGATTTGAAAAAAAAAAAACCCATCTTCGTCGTGCCGGCTGCTTGCATGTGCTAAATTAAAATGAGCACTTTGTTTTATTTCCACTTTTGACTTCCACCTGTTTCACTTTCTGCTAAAGCGCCTCCTGGCAGGTGAAGGAAAATCTTCAGTAAAGCCGCCTCATTATAAGCCGCATGGTTCAAAGCGTGGGAAAAAGTAGCGGCTTATAGTCCTGAAAATACGGTACATTAGATTTAATATTTTATCATCTTCTGCTTTATTCACTTATCAGTCCAAATACATCTTCATGGCCTTAACTAATTTTCCTCATTCTAACTCTTCCATTCCTTCATTTCCTTTAGCACTCCTTCCTTCTCCCCTCCACCCCCACTACTCCACCTCACCACTGGTTTCTCCATTTTCTCCTCCCCTCCTCCAGCTGGAGCTCTCTGTCCATTAGCTGAACACCATCCTGGGTATTTGATGACTCCACGCTGTATTAGCATGGAACAGCTGTGGTTCTCTGTCTTGTTCATGGTGTCGTTTTGTTAGGAGATTTGAAAAAAAGCAGCAGCTACAGACAACTAAATAACAGCAGTTCCTTAGTGTTACTTTAGATATAACAACTTTTCATTTAATTTCAAAATATCACTATTTAGCAAAAATTGCTATATCTGAGTAACTTGTCTCACTGACAACCTGAAAATATTTGTCTAAGCACCTCTTTCCAGTTTCTAAATAATGCTGTCACATGATTTTGTTCCACATTTCCCATTTGACTAAATTATCACACACACACACACACAAAAAAATCAGTATTTAATGTTATTTAGGCTCTTTCCTCAGTAGGGGGGCCACAGGAGGGCCCAAGATTGCTGTCAGGGTGGCAATAGTCCACCCTGGACCCTCCTTCTAGAACTGCCCCTGTGTGAGTTTTAACAAAGTATTCTGTGCTGTGCTAACAAAAGCTTATGCCACATTTTTCAGTTTAATACTCAGATGATGAGGCGCTTTGTTGAAAGGTGTTTTATAAATAAAGTTAAAGTTATTAAAAATCTTTAGAAACCCCAGAAATGTCTTTGCCTTGGTTTGAATCTGCTTCGATCACCCAACATTCAGTAAGATACTTTTTTAAAATCACACCTAATCTCAACATAATCTCATCTAATAATTTATTTCACAATCTCAACACAAATTTAACACGTAAAATACTTTCTAGAACAACATTTTTAAAGTAAAACTTGTTTGACGTGGACTGTCTCACTGATGTAAAAGGTGTTAAATCCTTATAAACTGTTTAATCTTGACAGTTTGTTGTGCTTTCACCAACTCCTTGGTCGGAAATCATCTCAAGGTATCCTGCTGTTGGAGCAAAACAAGAATGTGTTGGTTTACTGAGAAGATTAACATATCCTAGTGAGTCTGCAGCCATAATAGTCAAATCAGATGCTCACCTGCATCATATGTGCTAACCATCTGAATTTAATATTGAATTCTTGAAAATGTGTTGACTTTACCATCTCAGTGATGTGCTTGTGATAATGGAGTGCTTCTGGGCCGTTAATATAGACATGGAAAATTTGGAGAAGTCTTTAAAATACAAACTCGAACTCAGTTTTCTTTTATTGTTTTTTTTTTTTTTTCCTTTTTCAATTTATTCAGTTGATTTTCATTTTACCACTGTGTGGTTTTCCAGCCATCCTGGGCATGCACACTCTGATGAGTAACCAGCAGTACTACGAGGCCCTGGCCAGCAGCACTATAGTCAACAAGCAAGGCCTCAACAGTAAGAAACACACACACACACGCACGCGCGCGCACACACACACACACACACACACACACATCATTTGTTAAACCTTGAGGTGATAAAGATGACCACATTAAATGCAAAAAAATCTCAAAAGCAACACATCATTTCTTGTTATGAAGAAATCCAAGATTAAATTAACCCAGAGCACCATCTAAAGTACCCTAGGCCTCACTTGGTTAAAGTTAAGGTCAGAGGTCATGATTCAACAATAGGGGAAGGGGAGCAGGGGGTGTCTCATTTATTCAATTTTGGAATCTTAAAAAAAAAGACTTGGGAAAATACTATGCTGGCTGTGTGTGTGTGTGTGTGTGTGTGTGTGTGTGTGTGTGTGTGTGTGTGTACTGTTACATCTAGAGTAAAACTTATTCTGCATATCAGAGAGAAAACATCATATTATGGTAAATGGCCTGTATTTGTATAGTGTCTTCTTAGGGTTCTACTACCCCCCAAGGCGCTTTACAACACAACTCTTGAGTTTTTCATGCAGTCTGAACATGAAAGTAGTCTTCTACACCTATCTCATGCATTAGCTACTGATAGATAATAGATGGTGAAACTCCCGACAGATATACAGTACAGGCCAAAAGTTTGGACACACCTTCTCATTCAATGAGTTTTCTTTATTTTCATGACCATTGGTGGATTCTCACTACGAATGAACATGCGTGGAGTTATGTACTCAACCAAAAAAGGTGAATAACTGAAAACATGTTTTTTATTCTATTTTATTCAAAATAGCCACCATTTGCTCTGATTACTGCTTTGCACACGCGTGGCATTCTCTTGATGAGCCTCAAGAAGTAGTCAGCTGAAATGGTTTTCCAACAGTCATGAAGGAGTTCCCAGAGGTGTTTAGCACTTGTTGGCCCCTTTGTAATTGGTCATGATCATGAAAATAAAGAACACATATTGAGTGAGAAGGTGTGTCCAAACTTTTGGCCTGTACTGTATGGTAAATAAATGGTAGATGGCCTGTATTTTATGTAGCGCCTTCTAGAGTCCTGGACCCCCCCCCCCCCCCCCCCCCCCCCAAGGCGCTTTACAACACAATAAGTCGTTCACCCATTTACTCACACATTCACACACTGGTGGGGATGAGCTACGATGTAGCCGCAGCTGCCCTTGGGCGCACTGACAGAGGTGGGGCTGCCGAGCACTGGCACCTCTGGTCCCTCTGACCAAGACCAGCAGGCAAGGTGGGTTAAGTGTCTTGCCCAAGGACACAACGACGGCGACAGACTAAGCGGGGCTCGAACCTGCAACCTTCTGATTACGGGGCAAGAGCACTTAACTCCTGTGCCACAGTCGCCCCCACAGTGTATGTAACACTGTCACTTAACAATCATGAACTCCTCCATCTTGACTCATGACAGGGAAGGCTGTTGTTGTTTTAGCATCGAGGAAACAGCAGAGAAAATCATGGCTAGTAGAAGCTAACCATTAGCAATTCCACCACACAGCAGAACTCCTCCAGGCTTGTGTTATTTGTGGAGATAAAACATCAACATTGCAAGTCAGCGGTAGAGTCGCATTGCTGTTATCCAATCTGAGGCGAGATGTTCAAATATCGGTAAATAAGACTCCGAATCCCGTCGTCTGAAGCTCAGCTGTGATGTGGGTCATTTCTAGTTACTGAAAATGGTGCAACAGGACTTCCTGTCCGAGTAAGGCTTACAAGGCGTTCATTCCTACTCGACACCACTGCAAGTGTATTGATTAAAAAAGTGTTCCAGACCTTTAATATCCGACCTTTGACCTTAAATCATCTTGGAACCCACCTGTATGAAATGAAATATTTTGTGAAAACTGCATTTTGAAATTAACTCAGGTTATCTTGATCATTGTTTACAAATCTTTCTGAAAAAGGGCAACAACTCTTTCACAGCACTGCAGACGGGACTTTTGTATAAAACAAACACACATTCTAGATTGCTCTATGGAATACTTTTAGTTAAAAGTAAAATTTCTTGTGTTTTGAAACAAGTTCAGCCATAGATGCACATATTCAAGCAAATGAAACAAGTAGAGTCCGTAAATGGATCCTGTCATACTAACGCTCCTCCAGGAGTGCAGTCCCTATGAAATATCTGTTTATATTTCATCTTATAAACTATTGTACAGATGTCTTTTATCCCTCCATCACACCCACACACACTTTAAAAGCCACTGGGCTCATTGTATAGCTTCTCCTCCATCTCTAAGCAGAAAAGTATGTAGCTTCCAAATATGACTGGCAGATAAAGAAGGTCAGCTCTGAACTACATGTTCAGATCTTCAGCCGCTTTGTTTTTCGTGCTTGTCTGGCAAGTTCATTATAAAGGTCAGTGATCCAGTACCAACAGTTTTATTATATGAAATCAATACAGTATTTAGAATGAGTAGAAGTCTTCTCCTCATGTAGAATAGGTACTAAACCAATTAAACCACAGGAATATACTGTAGTAACTTATTATTTTTTCCACACTAAACCATTTTTAGGGTGCATGGTAGAGCATATTTTACTTCCTGTATTGTATTGAAACCTGTACTGAATATTACTGAGAAACAAAATCCAAAGGGTTTAACTGGACTTCTTGCCCTCATTTGAACCCTTTGGATGTTGCTAAACAAAACTAAACTTCTACTACACCAAATATCTTATGATATCGTTACCCTAAGCACTCAAAACAAAAATTTCCTTGTTGTGGACGTTAAAGGGTTAACGTTGTTTCAAAGTGGTTTTATTTCTATTTTCTCTGAGTTATTTATTTATTTATTTTAGTTAGAACCTTTTCACTAGTTCTCTGTCCACTCATTGTACATGACAGCATATTGTGGTTAAAATTTAGGAAGCGGAGGCCAAGGAAGTGTCTGGCCGTAAAACGATAAAACGCAATCTGAAAGACGTGTTTGTAAATTTAGGGGAAAACCTAAAACTGGGCATTGCAGCGATGTTAGGGAACAAAAAAGGCGCTCGAGAGGCTGAGATTGGGCCGTCTTGACGCGCTGAGATTCCAAAAATGTTTTCATAACTTTATTAAGATTAAAGCAATGAAGTGAGTATACTGTAACATGCTCAAAATAATCAAAGGAAAAACTATCACAGCGATCAAATAGTGGCGGTCAACAAAAGTACGGCAACCCACTCACCCACTCTGCCTTTCCGATGTCACCTGTGCAGGTGCAGCTAATGAAATTATATCCCCACCCATGATTACATGACCGTCAATAATGATCTACGTATTTACATACACCAGAACACATCAATATATTTATACACTTACGACTAAAACATTACATTTATAAGTAACTTTTTACAATAAAGTCCCCTTATTAACGTTACTTAGTGCATTATTAAGCATACACCACCCCTGGCCTATTGTCCCAATCTTAAAGAGACAATGTGTAGTTTTTACTTTTTATTTCAGGAAATATTCATTGAAATGTGGTTAAAAATGAATTTAATGGTTGAAAATATTGTTAACTTTGTAATACATAACCATAAAAGTGAGTCTAAAATACATGGGTGCAGATCTATCTCTATGGGGGACGCCATATTAGACGCCATGTTTCCTTCTACGTGAGCCTGTGAGGACAAAATGCATTTATTGATTTGTAACAAATGGTTACAAAACTTTTGTCATTCATAAATGTTGTTTTACACATTTACCTCTTTGCTCATTGCCAGTGATGAAAGGGAATCTGATCTCAGGGATTTTTTTTTACCCCAATGGCCATTAGTTGGGAAGGTCTTACTCCAACACAAAAATACGGCTTGCTTGCAATGATTTAGGTATGTACTGCCCCCTATCGTCATGATCACCATTTTGATCCGTAAGAAGAATTATAAGAACATCAAGTGGTGTTATCTTGAGTATAGGGCTGGGCGATATGGTCTAAAATCAATATCACGATATATTGAGGATTTCACCTCGATAACGATAAATGGACGATGACTACAGGTATGCACAGAAACAAAAGTTATCCACTAGATGGGGCTGTCACATGTATTACGTTGTGTCACATTTTTACGTGACTCATGGTGGTACAGCTTCTTAAGGGACACGAATGTTGCCAACCTACACACATCTTTTCATTTTTTTATTATCAGATTTATTGACATGGGAAAAATGATCACGATAAGTGTCAGAAATTTCGATAACGATACATTTTCAATTCATTGCCAAGCCCTACTTGGGTATTTATCATGGATTCCATAAATAATTCAGGCTTTGAAGAGGTTTAACGGACAGATGGTCAGTCACTGAAAAGGAGTGAAAAGACCAAAGAAAAACCTTCAGAATGAATGAAGAAATATTCATCTTGACCACAAATTATGACCGATCACTCATAGCTTTTCCATGAAAATAATGGTGACTTTGGTTTAGACCTTCCCTCACTCTACAGAAACTTGTCATCTTTATGAAGAATAATAAATGAAATATATTTGACAAGGTATCGTGTTTAAAGTCTCCTTGGAAGTTGGACTTATTTTAGCTCCTCTCCTTGTGTTGCCTTCAGGTGTGATCCAGTGCACCCAGTATAAACCCGTCCCCGATGAGGAGCCCAACGCCACTGATGTGGAGGAAACACTGATGAGAGTAAAGAGGAATGATCCTGACCTGGTAGAGGTTAACCTCAACAACATAAAGGTCAGAACTTTGTCCTGTTTTAAAAGCTTTAAAATTATTCATTTACCCCAGAAAGTTCCACAAAATTATGTTTTTCTGTCATTTCAGAAACAAAATTATGTTTACATCATTACAGTGTAGTAGCTGAAACCACCTGGAGTTCACTTTGCTTTATTTTTATACAAATTCAAATTCAGAGTGCTAAACAATGGGAATAATCCTAATCCAGTTACTAGCTAGAACAGAGTAGACAAAAGCGTGAGTTTGGTTGTGTTTTGACCCAAGCACAGTGACTGCCAGTGGGTTTGGACAGACACACAGTTATATAGCTCAAAAGGAAATGAGAGCTTCGTGCCGCCGCGGTTCCAGAATCATGGAAAGGGATTTACGGGAAATCAACAGGATTGGTAAACGACAGGCTGGACTGGAAGGCTCTGGAAACGACTGAATCGATGACTGGGCCACGAGGGAAAGTCTGCACTGCCTGATATAGTCCGGGCTGATGACGTGAGCAGGAAAACATGTGGTGCATGCTGGGTAATGGAATCCTGGAGTTGGTATAGTCTGAGGAAAGTGACGAGGGTGATGTAGGCTGGTTGGCGGAGTTCAGGGCAGGCTTGGATCTGAGGTGGAGGAGTTAGGGGTGATGAGGCAGGGAGCCAGAACCGGGACATATAGAGTCAGATTCAGATTTAAATCAATAATTTTACTACAAACCCAAATAGGCTAGCTGGACACAAGAATGGTAATTACAAAATGCAAAATGATCAAACAAATAAATGAAATGAACAATTACTGGAAATTCAAAAACACCTGTTACAATCTGTGTTTCTTCCAATCCAGAATATTCCCATCCCAACTCTGAAGGCGTATGCCGAAGCTCTGATGAAGAACACGGTGGTTGAGAGGTTCAGTATTGTAGGAACCAGGAGCAACGACCCTGTAGCATTTGTGAGTCAGTGAACAGACACCTTTTACCTGTTCAGAACAGAACTGAAGTCTGCTGTAGGAAATGTCTCTAAACCAAAGTTGGATCTAAGGTGACGTGTGTGTTGTGTTGATTCAGGCACTGGCAGAGATGCTGAAGGTGAACTCGACCCTCAAGAGTCTGAATGTCGAGTCCAACTTCATAACGGGAGCTGGAGTCATGGCTCTCATCGAGTCGCTGCAGAATAACAACACGCTAACTGAGCTGAAAATCGACAATCAGGTGCCAGTCCCGTACCCCCCCCCCCCCCCCCCCCCACACACACACACACACACGTGTCTCTGTGGGCAGATTAAAGAGCAAGTCACCCCCACCAGAGTATTACTCCACTCCCACTTCCTGTTTGAAAAATGCAACAAATGCTGTTGCCTAGCAGACCGAGAGGGCGGAGCCGCCAACAGATACACACACACACACACACACACACACACACACACACACACACACACAGGCTCACAACGACATTGTGACATCATATGGTACCAGCTAACGTTCTAGGGTACCTCTTAGCCAATAGCAGATTTAAATTCAAATGCAGTACAGAGTTTTTACCTGGCAACGGCACAACACTGACAGTTTTAGGCAGAAAATTTTAATTTGAACTAAACTGCACTAAAGCGCAAAACTATTGACTACACGGGTCTGCAGCACAATTAGACACACTTATATAGTTTATCAGTAAAAATAAGTTGATTTGGGGGTGACTTGCTCTTTAAGTTTAGAAAACCAGTGCCGTTCCAGCACTTAGATAGCTTCAAGGTGTGTCATACAGCAGAGTTATACCCACTGCTCACTTTTATTTTTTTATTCCTTCCAAAAATGTTTTTCCATCTTTTCCACATCCGTTGTTTAAATTATAACATCAAGACAAAAACACACATTGGTTTCCTCTGAAATTCCGTCCTTTTTCACCATCATTAGCAGTGGCACTAAAGCTGTTTGTCACATCTCTACCCTTTGTTTTTTTTAATGTCTCATTTCCCCGTGATTTCATCCCTCCGCTCCTCCATCCCAACTCCAGAGCCAGCCTCTGGGAAACAAAGTTGAGATGGAGATCGCCAGCATACTGGAGAAAAACACCACGCTGCTGAAGTTTGGATATCACTTCACTCAACAGGGGCCGCGCCTCAGAGGCTCAAACGCCATGATGAACAACAACGACCTGGGTGGGTTTCGTGCAAACATCAATGCTCTCCTTGTGTTCATTAATGACCTTATCTGGGAATATGAAGCTGCATTTCATTATAAAACAAGAGTTGCCTCATTTAGCTGGAGTTGGACGGCGTTTAATCTCTCAGCAGAGCTGCATTTGGCAGGGGGGGGGGGGGGGGGGGGGCGTTTGTCACCTTATCTTCACTATATCTGCTGGAGTTCTACTTCAGTCATCGTCTTATAGAAGGATAGCCCTGATATCATCAGCTGGTAACTCAGCGGGACCAGCAGAGAGCCTCGGCCAACAAAAACAACTCCTTCCTAACTTATGACATCAGCACCAAGAAAAGGCTGGGTGCCTCGGAGAGAACAAAATGTAACAAAGAATTGTTCCCATTTCAGCGTGCTTGTGTCTCAGTAACAAATGATCTTAGATGCTTCATTTGTTGAATTTTGGTCAAGAAAAAGGATTTGAACTTTTTAGAAGGTAATCATTGGATGTGTAATTCAAGATGGCTACCACAGCCATGATCAAACACAAAACGGATATAATTCAGTCACCTTTACAGCTACTGAGCTGTGGTGTGTAGCATGTAGCATCAAGGAGAAGAGGAGGAGGAGGAGGAGGAGATATTGGAAAACGGCTATAGCTCCTGCTTCCTTCTGGAAGGAGCTGAAAGCCACAACTCATAATCGCACAGAGAGCTAAATCAGTAGTCAGATTTAACAATACACTAATCACTCAGCTCCAATACAGAAAAAATAAACCTTTTCTAGTTCCCCTTCTTCCTCTTTCATAACTAGTTTGAAGTTTACAGACTGACATTTATTCAAAGCTGTTCGAGTTAGCACCATGTTGGCCTACGGTAACTGCAGCATACCACCGCTATCTGCACTATTATTTCTTTTATTTGATTACATTTTGGTTACAATTCTCTAAAATACAAGAAGTTACTCAGTATTTACCTGACCTAGTACAAGCTCTCTCCGTCTTTTAAACGCGTCTCCGATTTAAATTCTGCTCGACGGCAGTAAACGCCTCACGGAGAGTTTTGCAGGAGGACTTTTAAACTGTTTACGTTTTCTTTGAGAAGTAGAAGGCAGATGAGAAGTCACCTTCGATGCTTGTTTTGGTAGTAAACACCAGCTCCTTCTCCTCCTCCTTCTTCTTCATCTTCTTCGTTGGTGTGCTAACCCCGTAGTGCATTCTCGTTGATACTCCTGTGGATACACATATCTGTAGGTCAACGCTCTAGGCTCATATTTGTTTTCATGTGGAAGCCAGGGGAGTGAGTTAAAGGAGATATAAATTCTAAAAGATTACCTACTTTATATCACAGAACAGGGTCAGAAAGTGAAGTTTAAAGGTGTGGAACATTGAAAAATAATTTTTAAATGATTATTTCTGATTTTAATCGGTCACTCTGACTGTTTCATGCAGGCTAAACATGAAAAGTCACTGAGTGTCAAATCAACTGCCTACGATTTTTATTAAAATCGTTGCCATTAACTGTTGGATTCGTACTCTTGAGTGTGTTACTGAGTGGGAACTTGCGATTTCCTGGAAGATCTTGTATCTGTCTTTCAAAACTTGACATTTCTCAGGCTGCTCATGATACGTATTCCTGTCCAGGAAAGTCAGACCTTTAATTTATTATCAGTGTCATAACTAGTGCTGTTTTTATTTCACCCTCTCCTCGTCTCTAAGCCCGCGTGGTCAGGTCCGAATCAGACGGCTCCATCACCTTCACCCTCTCTGTTCCCGAGCTGGAGCGAGCCTTCGGGAAAAAGTTCAAGTCCAAGACAAAGTAAAACCCAAACACAACTGTGTTTGACCGCTCAGACGACTTTCTTCTGCCAGCAGCTTCTTCTGGTTCTTCTCTAGACTGCCAGAGCCTCTGCCACCTCCTGTCATCCTCCTCCAAGGGTTTCTGTTGTTTCTCTGCAGCACCCTTTCCTTCTTTTCATCCCTCCTGTCATCACTGTCTTTTCAAGGCTACAGATGTTTCGTCTTCTTTTGCTTTTTTTGCAAAACTGCAGAAATCGGTTGTTTAGTGATTCACTTTCTCAGAGCAAACACACTCGCCTAGTTTCAAAGGTGTTTCTGAGCTGGCGTTTTTCCCATCCTTCTGTTGTTTTTATTAATTTGCCTCACTCTGTTCCAGCACCGTCTCTTCTCTCTACCCATCTAAACACTGACTGCACTTCTAGAGCTGGATTACTCTGAGAACAAAGCAGACCTTTAAAGGATCTGGATTCTCTCTTTTGGAAACGAGTTCATGCTTTCTCGTAAAACTTTTTTTTCTTAATGCTCAAAGCAATTCTTGCATTTTTATTCACTTTAGAGTCTTTTTCATGTTTTTTTTTTAGGTTTGAATGTTAAATTTAAGGCCCTTAATGCTTCATTATCTGTAATCAGGGTTTCATTTACTTTCTGGGCCCATATTAGAGTTGATCCAGCCCGGTACAGTGTCTCACATCTGTCTTGTGCCTTTTCATTTATCTTCATTTTTGCAGCCGCCAACTTTTAAAAACATTAGGATAACATTTTCCCCTTTCTTGTATCCATCTTCCTTTTTGTGTTGCACATTTGATGTGAATGAAGTAGTAGTGATTAAATTAATACACGTTCTCCTTTTGCAGTAAGAAAGAGAAGGCTTGAGGGAGGACCCATCTTCCCCAAGTGTCGGACGAATGTGTAGAAATCTGGTCTACCTTCAACCTCCTCCAATCATCTGTGAACCCTTTGGCAGCCTCCAACCCACCGGCGGTGCACTGCAGCAGGTTCAGTTGTTTGGTAAAAATGTCGAAGGACTCCGTTGAAATCTGCAGCATCCTTCGGTGTTTTCCGTGCATGCACAACGTGAGATGATAATGGTTGTTTTGTAAAGTTTGCAGTTCCCCATTGATTTTAGACTCTTCATGCAAACCAATCAATCACAGGATATAACATTATTTTAAATCCTTCAACACCACAACAAGTGCCTTTAATCCTGTTTTAGTTTTAAATGTGGTCCTATTTTGGAAGACGATGGTTATTATTATAGCGGAGTGCGAACTCCGGCGTGCCTTTTATTTTTCCAGCTCTATGAAATGAATAAAATGGGTTCGGTTCAGCAGATGTATCATGTAGTTTATCCTTTATTGCTGTACACATAAAATATTGATAATTTAGATAACTTGGGTTATTTAAAGTAGAAAAACACTTTAAAAGATAATTTATTTCCATAATATGCAGCAATGCAATGCCTTTCCTTATAATAAGATATTCTATACGAACATTATTTAAAGAGCAAGTCACCCCCAAATAAACTTATTTTTACTGATAAACTATTTAAATGTGTGTCTAATCGTGCTGCAGACACGTGTAGTTTAGCATTTTAGTGCATTTTAGTTTAAATTAAAATTTTCTGCCTAAAGCCGGGCGTACACTGTGCGACTTTTTCACTTTTTTGAGCCGATTTTCCAGTCGTGCGAGAAGCCACGACATCGGGGCGAGTTTTGCGCCGAGCGGTCGTGTAGTGTACAGGGGGTTACGAGAGGCGATTAACACCACGTGACCAGCTGCCGATCAGCAGTCGTGAGGTCGCACGGACTTCTGGCGTGTTTAATATTTTGCTCGTCCCTCGTGAGGGTATCACACTGTTGAAGCAGCGCTGCGAGCAGCTGCGACCCAAAATGTATCAGAACCGCTCACGGCGCATGCGCAATCCTGCATCAACGCCGCTCGCTATTCCCCTAATAACACACGCTGTTCGTTTTTGTTTCTACACGTTTTTTTACTCACAAAGATTGTCAAGAAAGCGTGTTTGTCGTGTTCATGTCAAATTAAACTGATCACAAAACACAGATTTACTTTCTTTATTTCGTTTTCCTCATCCAACCCCCATAAATCCCTGTGTGTCCTCCTGCAGCACTCCCGAAGGACAACAGGCAAAACAAGACAAAAAAGTCTGACGTGTTGAGTAAAAACTGCTATTTTTAGCATATTTTTAGGGCCGACGTGTTGCTACCAGACGTACAGTGTGAGCAGTCAGGTCGCATGCGAGAACTGGGTCGTGCAGTGTGAGCGCATGACTCGTGAGATCTGCTCTGCGAGGAAGTCGTACAGTTTGAGCTGAAGCTGAACGCTGCGAGTGAAAAAGTCGCACGGTGTACGCCCGGCTTAAAACTGTCTGTGTTGTGCCGTTGTCAGGTAAAAACTGTACTGCATTTGAATTTAAATCTGCCATCGCTATTGGCTAAGAGGTACCCTAGAACGTTAGCTGGTACCATATGATGTCACAATGTCGTTGTGACCCTGTGTGTGTGTGTGTGTGTGTGTGTGTGTGTGTGTGTGTGTGTGTGTGTATTTGTTAGCGGCTCCGCCCTCTCGGTCTGCTAGGCAACAGCATTTGTTGCATTTTTCAAACAGGAAGTGGGAGTAGAGTAATACTCTGGTGGGGGTGACTTGCACTTTAATTAAGTTAGCTGTGTTAATCCAACGTTAAAGCCGACAACCCTCAAATATTAGAGCAGATTTGTGTTTGGCCTTCAGCCAGGTGTGGTTTGACAGTATCAAACTGCTGGTTCCAGATTTAATATCCTCCTTTTTAAATAAAGAAATAATTACATACAAAATCCTTTTACACATTAAGCACTGATGGGTTATTATTTAAAAATACGTGATTAATGGAAAGGTTCACACCAAGGATGAGCTGCTTCCGGCTCCGACAGCTTTATGTTGAACTGAGAATATTTGGCAGTATTTAAAGCATTATTTAAAAAAAAAAAACTAACATTGTAAAATAAAAACGGTTTTACATGTGTTTTATTTTTAATTCCATCTCATGCTTTATTGTTCACTCTGCGACTGTCAATGTAATATAAAACCCCACCAGGAATGAGCGTGGTATGAGTCAGGCAGCGTGTTAGTGGGTCATCTGTGAAGTTATTTAGTACCACTGCTTCATTTAAAAAACCCTGCCTGTGTTTTAAATGGTGATGATGGATGTAAACATTCTTCACTGAATTTGAAAGAGAACTCCTTACTATTCATTAGTCTTGTTTTGTGTTTGAGTTTTTCAGCTTTTTTGTTGTTTGACTGATTTTTTTTGGTAGTAGAACACTTTTGTTGGTTGAATGTGTTCATTGGTTTAATAAAGATTAACATTTTAATTTGCCTTTGCATTATTATTGCATCTAAATAGGTTTTTCTTTACTTCCCGTGTGGCAGACCTTTCTACCCTGTAGATGCCACAGTGACACCCAGTGGTGAAACTGAGGAATTACAATCATTTTCCCTTTCTGCCACTTCTGTCACTGAGATGCCCCCTAGTGGTCAAACAATGGAAATGGACATTTGATAAAGATTATTAATCAAAAGTGGTCGCTGCCATATCTACGCACATAACTGAAGAAATGAGTGATTTCTTAAATTTGTAGGCACTAAATGTAGATATTTGGTTAATTTATATTTATGTCCTAATTAAATATTTCAATAGGCTACATACATTTTAAAAAGTCTTCTCTACAAACTATTCTCATACTTAATGTTTATTCTTTAATAGTATTTTTCTGGTTCATGTGGGGAAAATGTCCCCCTACAGTTTTTTTTCTTTTTTGTAGAAATGTTAATGTAACTTTACCAAGACATAAAAACTTGTTTTTACTGAATAAAAAAAATTGATGTACAACATATTCTGTAATATAAAACAAGATTACTACATAAACAGAGTATTTGCTTTAAAACTACATTTTGTTTGATAAAGGAAATAAAACATTTTTCATCAGATGATGTTGATCAGGGTTATATATCTAAATGTGAAAAAGAAAACATGTTAACATCTGAGCAAGATTTTTATTGAGTCTCAAGCAGAAACGTACACGTTAATCCCTTATTGCTCTTCGCCGTTCTGCATCGCTCTCATCTATAAACCATCATATCAACTTTTCCTTCTTTCTTTATTCCAGTAAAACAAAATCAATGGGCGAGCTGCGGCAGTTGCTTCACATTGTGTGATCAAGGGAAAGTGGCCCATTTGTCACTGAAACGTGTCTCCTCCCATGTTATTTCTGCTAATCCTAACTACAAACCTCCCTCAGATTTCCCTCAGCATCCTCCCCTCTTCTAAAACACCCTGATCGTAAAGATATCCGTACGGTTTCATCTGTGGTTTTATGGCTAAAAGCTTAAGGTTCTAGCTGTTGTGTGAACAGCTACGTGGTCGCTCTTCATCAAAAATATTAAATCAACAGCGAATCAAAGTTAGTTCCTTGAATACACACACACATACATTTATTATTTAACTAATATTACCATTATTGTTCATGGTTATATCAACGTGGTTGTGGAGACACAGTTAAACGTAGGAGTTATTGCCTTTATATTATTTTTGCATGACGAGAAAATGTGATAAATGGATCAATAAGTGGGTTTGGATACATATTCACACAACAAACTGTGCAGACAAATGGCATGCAAGACACAGGAGGTACGCCGAGGAAGAGAACACTGTACAATATGAACATCCATGTGGGAGTGTGCCTGGAAGACAGACAACTTTTACAGAGAACGTGGGACTGTGCAAAGTTTCACAGGAATCTCAGACATGTTTCAACACATAACCAAAACTTTAGAAGCACAGGACAACAAATGACGTTTAGTTTTCTCTAAATATGGCTTATCAAGTGTTTTTATAGCGATAGAATAGATTTTGTGTGATAATTCTGCCTCCCTGTGAGGCGCGTGATGTATTTATGTACAAATTGAGTTGACCATAGTGGTTACGTGGTTTTTTCTGAGCTGCAGGAATGCTGTGCAGCTAACACAGAGGAGAGAAAGAGAAGTTTCAAACTTCTCGGAATAGAAGGATAAACCATCGAATGTTCATCTTTGGCCCTCTGCGTGTTGTTAGCGTCAAACATACAGCTGGAGTCAAGGTAGCATTCACCTGGCTGATCTTGAGTCAGTTTGGTCTGATGGCTCACACTGTTGGTTCATCTTATTTTTTTCTCAGCTAGAAAAACTTTGATTTGGCCCAAAACTTAAACACCTCACTGAGTTCTAACGCCCCCCCCCCCCCCCCCCCCCCCCCATGTACTAAGGTTACACTTTATTTAAAAAACAACAAAAGCCTGATTCGAGCCAGCCTAGTGAATGCAGCCCATAAACTCCGCTACATAATGTTAGCTTCAGCTACTTCTTCAGCATGTCTTGCAGTGGGCCTGGCAGGTATTTCATCACTGTGTCCATGATGCTTTCCTCCTCTTCCTCATCGCCACATCCGGCCGGCACGGCCTTCTTGGGTCGGGTCAAGCTGCCCTCCGCAGGCTGCTCTGCAGCAGCTGCTGCCTCGGCTTCAGCCTCTTCGCGCTTTTTCAACCCATACTGGAGGTCAAACACAGAAGCAGAAGTGTAAAAGACGATGTTTTATAAATGGGCATCAAAATGTTCTGTTTCTACTCTTATTTGGCTTCAGAAGAAGAGTTGTTTCTCGTTTGGGCTGTTGGGTCTAATAAGTTAAACGCTGACGGACAAAAGGGTCAAATTTAAGTTAAATGACTCAAATCTAACGAGTCATGATGATGCAGCTTCATAAACTACAGAAGCTCTCCAGCAGGAATGATTTGGTTAATTCCCCGTAGACTCAGGAAAAATTGGAAGTCAACACAAACACTTCCAAAGGGTGGCCCGGGGGGGGGGGGGGGGGGGGGCACTCTGTTGGCCCTCACCGGGGTAGAGGATCCCCTAGCCCCCTTAAAAAAATAACATTTGTCTTCTTTAATCAAGTCATGTTAAAGCCAATAAATGCATTTATTTGAAATTGGTTTAATAATTTATTTAAGAAATAAAAATTTAAATAAACATACATGTCACTGAGGCTCACTATTAAAAAGTACAAATCCTAATAGATTTTGCACGTGTTTTGTTGAAACAGCAACAGGAAGTTAAAGGGATACAAGACAGTTTTGTCTTGCTTTTAGCACCCCCTAGTGCCCGCTAGTAAAATAGAAAGTAAAACTCCTCTCCTCGCTGTGTGTTCGTTCTTTTTAACACCTTAATCTAACTGCTGAAATGTCTTCTCAGCCCCCATTACAGGGGTGATTCATTACTAAATCAAATAAATCAGCTGTGTTCATGACCTAAAACATGCACTTGGGCTCAAGCCACAGATGAAAACACTCCAGCACGGGCATGTCAGCTCCACTTTACCAAGTCCAACAGGGACGAGACCGGCACTCTGAAGTTGCAGGTGCGGTATTCTGGCCACACTGGGCAGTGGGGTCTGAGTGACAGTTCATTATACCTTCTAACACAATAAAATTGGAAACAATAACTGTGAAACCTGTTTGAAAATTTGTCTTTTCTGAAATGTTTGTGTAATGGTCACATGTGAATTTTAAATGTGTTGGATGCATGGGCCTTTGCTTTTGTAGAAGATAAAGGAGCGTGGGAATTCAGCGGCCACATCTGGCCCTAACTTGGTTTTCAGGGGGCGCAACTACCTGTATGGCCCCGCCCCAAAACAAGTAGTAAGATGGTATATCTGGTTTAAATGCCATTCATAAACTATATTTTCACCATATCTAACACAATAAAGCAAACTACAGTGAAGGACTAAAACTTCTTTATAACCCACTCCTGGAAAGTGTTTTTTTTTTCCTTCTGTTCCCTCCAGAAGTTAGGAGACGAGCTCTGATTCACAGCTCTCCTGTCAGATTTGTCTTTAAGCCGCAGCGACACTCTGCAAACACAGCAGGACTGCAGGTTTCTGGAGAAGGCAACTCTGACAATAAACCGACACCAAGTGGAGCTGAGCCAAAACAGAACTTTAAAGCTACTGCTGATTCAGATGGAACTTTTGTTTAAAGAACAACACAGAAAAATTAGCGCTGAGCTGCAGAACTCACAAGCATCCTCAGCTTTGTGTTTAACAGGAGTTATGTGTTTAAATCAGTCGTCTGTTTGGTGCTTCTGTGTAAAAATTGCAGTTTTTACTCTCACTTCTGAGCAGCTTCCTGATTCTCCACTGATCTATTTTAAACCGGAAGTTATAAATAACACAAAAGCAAAAAAATGAAAAGTAAAAATAATCACGCAAGTTCTGAGGTGGCTCTCTGATGATCCAGTCCAACATCATACCTTGTCCCTGATGCCTTGTCTCATACTTTCTCTCTCAGCCTCCATCTTGGCATATTTGGCCTTCCTCTCCTCTTCCTGCTGCCTCAGCGCCTCCTGTCGCTCCTCCTCCTTCTTGGCTGCGTCAGGGTCTTCCTCCTTCTCCTCCCCACCCAGCATCTTGCCAACATCAGGGGGGCCTCCTGAGAGAGACAGGTGCAACAATGGCTCCAGCTGGTGATTTAGGTTTAAAAACACAGATTTAGAATTTCAGGAAGTTGTTCATGACCTTCTCAGTGGCTTAGTGGTATGAGTGTCCCTCGGGACCGGGAGATCGGGGATTAAATATGGTCGGGTCAAACCAAAAACTTTAAGAATGAGACCCAATGCCTTCTGCTTGACACTCGGCTTTAAGGGGTTGGATTGGGGGGTCAAACTACCAAATAGATCCCGAGCAGCCACTGCTGCAGCTCACTGCTCCCCATGGGGATGGGTCAAATGCAGAGATGTAATTTCACCAGTAAGTGATGATGACTAATGGGACTTTAACTTTAATGTGTAGAAATAATGAGAAAGGTTTTATTGCACTCAAGGAAATCTAACTCAGAATTTAAAGGCTATAGTCAGCTCAAATTATGTATGACAACAATATGATAATTAGACAAATTTTATCACTTTAATGCAATACAAATCCAGTTACATAGAAAGCAGTCACTTAAAGGGGAACTAAGCAGTTTAGGCTTGTTTTTAGCACCCCCTAGTGTCCATTTGTAGAACATAAACCAAAACTCTACCCCTCGCTGTGCGTTCGTCTTTTTAACACCTTAATCTAACAGCTGAAATGTCTCCCATGCCTCCCACTGTGTCTACAGGAGTGGTGCCTTACTAAATTAAATAAATCAGCTGTGTTCATTATCTAAAACATGCAGGAAACGTGCTTGAACCAGACTGCGGCGCCAGACATGTCAGTCAGAGCGCCCGCCAGTCTAAAGTTGCAAGTGGAATATTCTGGCCTCAGGGGGTGAAAGGGGCTGGGTGGCCTTGCATTAACACTGTAAAGTGTCATTTTAGCTACATAGCTCAAATATATGATTTGAAAATGTATAAAGTTGCAAAGTATCCCTTTAAAAACCTTTGTAATTTTCAGAAATAAAATTTGAAATATGACATTTGTATTTTCAGTACAGTGATCCCTCGTTTATCGCGGTAGATGTGTTCCAGACCTGGCCGCGATAGGTGAAAATCCGCGAAGTAGGGACTCCCAGCATGCCCCTCGCGGGGATTCCCTCCACGTTGCACCTACGTCACAAACCGCGGCTATAAACGGAAGTCGCCTTTCCAGCTCACCACTCACTCATCGTTTCTTCAGATTCATGATCAGAGTTTCCAACCTACCGATCAATCCAACGAACTATCAGCTCATAGTAAGTTATCTTACTTACTTCTGGAAAGCCCGGCATTTCCGTGTCACTTCGTTGACGCTCGAACGCTCGGGGGTTTCCTAGATCAGCCGGCGTTTCACCGACGCTATCACTTCCGCGTCTGTGAAACCACGCTCCCTATTGAATTATCGTATGATCACATTCTCTTTTTGTGGGTAAAACTCAAGAAAAAAATTTTTTTTTACTTGTTTTTTTAGTTTTATTACAAAAAGTGCATTTTATGATGAAATTGATGAAAAAAAAACAAGAATTTCTTGATATTTCGCATAGAAAAATACCGCGAATCAGTGAAAAATACCGCGAATCTGCGAATTCCCCCTGAAAAATGCTCCAAAGAAAAAATCCGCGAAGCAGCGAATCCGCGATGAACGAACCGCGAAGTGGCGAGGGATTACTGTAGATAAAACCAGGCTCAATGTGCAGACTTTTAGATATATTAAACATTTCAACCATATTTTCAACTCTTTACTTTTGCTGAAAAACCACAGAAAACCAAAAGAGTCTCTGAAGCTCCATGATGAAAATGCAAAAAAAAAAAAAAAAAAAAAATAATAATAATAAATACACTTCAGAAATTATTACCCTTGTTTTTGTTATTATAATCATTTAGAGGGACTCGATCTCCCTGCAGCATTTTCATCTGCTGCTCCAAGGCTGTGGAACACCCTCCCTGTCCACCTGAGGGCCCCACAAGCTGTTGACACTTTTAAACAGAACCTTAAAAGCCATCTTTTTTTTAGAAAAGCTTATTGCTAAATGTACTTTTGTGTTATTTTATTCTAGTTATCTTTCTGGACTCCGATAATTTTATAGCACTTTGAGATAAATATAAAGTGTTTTATAAATGAAATTTATTATTATTATTATTATTACAATAACAGAATCAAAATTATTTTATATATTCACATTAGACTGCTTGCCAGGCTGTGTTTTTGTGCCCTTGGGGACAAAACTTCATTGTGTTTTTCTACCCAAACTAAAAACAAACTGTTGGAATTAAAAACAAAATAATTAAAAACTAAATGAAACTGGTTAATCTGTCACTGAACGTTTTCTTGAAAATTTCAATAAAACCAAATCTGAGAGGAAAGTCTGAAAAGTTCCATCAATAAGAAAAAAGAGAAAGGGAGAACGTAGAAAACTAACGAAACCAGCAATTAGGGGACCTGGGGGGTGGGGAGAGCTTCGAACTATTTTGTCCAATTAACTGCACGGAGTCCAGCAGATCACCAGGGACTACCCAAAGAGGAGGGGAGGGGAGACGATGCAGAGGTAGGGAGGATGGAAGAGGGGCAGAGGAAGAGAGAACAAGGTAAAGAGTTCTCAGATGCTCTCAGTTCTGATGGAGTTTCGACTCATCAGCACAATTAACCCTTTGATGCATAACAGTCACTACAGTGGACAGGTACTCAAAATAGTTATTTATTTGTTTTTGCTATTAAGCACAGCTGTTGAAGACTTTATTGCATTTGAGCCCCTCCGTTTGGACTTCAGTGAGTCAAGCCACCATATTTCATGCTCAGAATGCACGCTGTCCACTGAGGTGGACATGTAATAAATTATTTGTAAATTATAAAATTTTACAAAAAATATTTGTTGAAATTTGTTTCATTCACACCTAAAGACGAATGAAAAAAATTGTTAAAAAAATCATAGTTGGAGATTTCATAATTCATGCATCAGAGGGTTAAACCAAACTTCAGCAAAACGTGGAAGAAAGATAAAAATCATTAGAGGAGATAAAAAGATTAAATAGATCAAATTCTGATGACATCAAACCGATTGTTTTATGAAAGATCATAAAATAAATAAAATCCAGGAAAAGTTGCAAATACTCAGACTTTATGGATTTATACAAGCAGTCAATCAGAGAAAAGCGTTCTGTTGTGATGGCGGGACGAGGACACCTCAGCATGAAATGATAAATGACCCGCACTTGTATATTTCCCAGAGTAAGGACTCCAAAGCGCTTTACAGTGTATCATTCACCCATTCACACACACATTCACACACTGGTGGGGATGAGCTACGATGTAGCCACAGCTGCCCTGGGGCGCACTGACGGAGGCGAAAGCAGAGCCACACAGCTGATACTTCCTGGAGATCAACCTCCTGAGATAAACCTGCGAGCAGCAAGTGGAGGCATTGTTTCTCCCACAAGTCGGTGGACTCATCTGAACAACCCTGAATAAAACGCATAGCTAGCTCTTTGATAAGAATCTCAAATGCAGCGATGTCGCATTAAAATGCTGCAGAAACTGAACACGGCTCAAACGAGGCTGCATTTACAAAGCAGCATCCAAAAGTGACAGGTTGTCGCGACAGACCTGCTGAGTGAGTGTTTCATCAGCCGAACCAAAGCCGCATCATCCGTAGCGTAATTCAGCACAAGTTTCTGCATCTACTTAGGTTGTTTATTTACATGAAAAAGAAAACGTACCCAAGGAGTAGAATGAAACAAAGCCGAGGTCAACACTTCTGCACACGTGGACATAAAAACATGCTTGGTTCCTTTTTTGTTATTTTCGTTTAAAAGTGACAGTGCACATCAGTCAAATGGAGGATTCTGCCAGATTTAGACCTGCAGGCTAATTATCGAAGGTAGTCTTTGGAAGGTGGAAAAGTTAAGAAAGGAACACACAAAACACATGCTAAACGAAAAGACATGGTTTCAATCATAAATGAATGAGATAAAAGCATAATTAAAACATTTTTGGGAAAATTATTATAACTTTGAATTTAATTAACTCCAAGTGTGACCATTTTCTGTGTGGGATTTTTCAGTCCCGGGTTTGAATTTGTTCAAAGAGAACTTCCAGAATCTCACAAACGTGACCTATCTTCGCTCTAAATTGTGGACAAGCTCAGAAAGCTGCATTTGGGTCTAAAAGTTAAGGATGCCTGTTGTGAATAGCAATGAATACATAGATTTTATCAAACAGTTACAATGAGAAAAGTTACAAAGTGTTTTAAAACAGTTCGTGTCACAAAGATTCAATAGCAGTTTATGCCTCACAGCCTTCATATTGACAAACGAATGGTTATTCCTGCTAATTTGTTGTGAAATTCCAGCTAGAAGTGCTGCAATATCAACAGCTAACTTCTCTGCTCTAAGTAATAGAAATTTATGGTAGAGGAAATGTTTATAAAGTAGCATTTGCTTGAAGTGTTTTTTAAAATTAATTAATTAATTAATTTTTTACATTTTTTAGATTAGAGATGATTCCAGGCAGCAGAAACACATTGAAACTAGCCTCACTTCAGACTAGCCATTAGCTTGTCAATTCAGTCACAACTAATACTCTATTTATCTCAGAAATTGGAGCTCTGAGCTGGGAAAGACATCCCACCAGAGTTAACAGCAAGTTGAAGTAATAGTTTTTTTTAACTTAAAGCTAGAGCTTTAAAATTGATCTCAGTGACTGTTAGATTTATAAACTTGATACGTTTCATACTTGACACAACTCTGCATCTCATGCTGACCAAAAACTGCACTTAGGTGTTGGTGTTCTAGGGCACACTTTTTATTCGTTTATGGCTGTTAGCTGCAACGCTCACAGTTAGCATTTTTTGTTTCATTGTCAACAAAAAGCACAAGAAAAAGATAAAGAAGAGGCTTGCTTTTCTTGTTGGTATCATGGCGGAGCCTGGAAGTAAAAATCAGAGAGTAATTTCTTTGGAGAAGCAAAGAGCTAAAACCAGAGAGAACATCACTGCAGCCACTAGTTTGTGGGAGCTAAAGGAGGCTACAAAATCACAGA